TCAATATCAAGTAGAAATATTCTCATTGTTTTTATGGTAGATTAAATCCAATGGCAACTTGTATCTTGAGGTCTGCTGACAGTGGATGTCACAATTCTCTGCTTAAATCTATTTACCTCCTGAATTAACTTGACATCTGTTGATAGATCTATCCCTGTACTCTCAACTCACCCAAAACAGTTCTTTTGTCAGGTCTTGAATTTCAACTGCAAATGCCTTTTCTTGTCTTTATTCACATTGGAACTAACTTCATTAAAATATTTCACAACTATTTGTCTCTCAGTTCTTCAAATAAATGCCTTAAATATATCACACCATATCTCACATATCTCAACTATTAAATATAAATAATGTTTAGTATGCCAGTATGAGAGCAGAAGATAAGGAAAATATCACACAATTAAAATCTGGTTAAAAGAATTCTGAAGCCATGCACTATGCATTGCCATTTTCAAGGGAGGTTCTTCTAGTGGTAGCAAACTTGTACAGGTTGGTCTTCTACTGAAAAATTTTGCCATACAGTTCTGAGATCTTTCCCTATATCCCAAATTCCTCTCTTAGCCTTCATTTCCACTAAAACTACAAACAGAGCAGAAAACAAGAACTTTTACTCTTTCACTGAAGGAACAATTTTAATTCAATAGCTGATGTGATTTAATCTAGAAATATTTCAAGAAGTATCTGTCAAACAACAAAAGACAGCTCCCAGTTCCTACCAGAGGAGTCCATAAGCTCCCAACTAAAAATGTCAGTGACCCAATACCCTTTTTTAATGTGGTGCTTGTTATGGTGTTGGTTTTTATTTTAACAGAAGTATCTTGCTGTCGAATTTAAGGTGTATTGATTTTATCAATTTTGTGCAGAAATGGATTTAACACCATTTTAAAACACTGCATATTTTAGCCATAGGTGTAAAGTGTTCATTTCTCTTCATGAAAACACAGTTTAGACTTTTGTTAAGCAGATTGATATATGGACTTGCTTGAACCTCTGCTGCATAACTGTTACAGTACTTAAGTCTTGCAGCTCTATCAGAAAAAGCCAAACATGGACATGGAATTAATTACACACAGATTCAGAGACTATTTTGATAATTGCATTCAGCATGAATAAATGAAGAAAAAAGGCAAGTCTAGAAATATTCTAGAGATCTCAGTGCAAAATTCAGAGATGAGCAAGTAATTAAAATTGGACCAAAATGACAGAATACAGTTACGTTCTAACTGCTTTAGGCAGTGAAATCTTTAAATCTCCATGCAGCCTGCAAACAAAGAACAGAACAACAGGTGAAGGGGAGGAAGTAGATTCCTCCAGGGTGGTGTAACATTGCCTTTTTCCTTCCCACTCTCCTGGACGACCTTCACACCAGTCCAGCTCTCAACCATAAAGCAGCAGTCAACAACTAAGTAAACATAAGGAATTCCAATTGTCTAGTTCTGGCAACAGGTAAGAAACTGGGGATTGGAGGGATCTGGGGGACTAGGCTCTAGAAAATTCTCCTACCATTTATATACCAGACTTAGAATATTAGGACAAGCAACTCTTCCAGACTTTCTGATATAGTACATGGGGCTCTGGAGCAACACATATGAAGAATAAGAACAGATAAGATCTCTCCAGGAGAAAATCTGATCAGCTGTTTTCAAAATAGAGCATTTTTCTAGGAGGTACTTCTTCCCTAATCCTATTTATTGAAAATTTATGTCCCTTTCTTTTAGCCTACATTAGTTTTAATGTAGTTTGATTTAAAGTTGAAATGTATTGACTTAATTTTCTTTCTTTTTTATGAGAAACAAATTTGAAGAATAAAGCAGTTAAAACGCCTTCCAAGTAATTGACAAAATCCTAAGTAACTAGAGCTAGATAACTACACCCTGCACATGGGTTGAGGCAATTCCAAACACAAATACAGGCTGGGGGATGAAGGGGTTGAGAGCAGCCCTTCAGAGAAGGACTTAGGGGTACTGGTAGATGAAAAGCTGGACATGAGCCAACCATGTGTGCTCACAGATCAGAAAGCCCTGTATCCTGGGCTGCATAAAAAGAAGCATGGCCAGCAGGTCAAGAGAGATGATTCTCACCCTCTACTCTGCTGAGACCCCACCTGAAGTACTGTGTTCAGATCTGTGGCCTCCAACATAAGAACATGGACCTGCTGGATTGAGTCCAGAGGAGGCCATGAACATGATCAGGGGCTGGAGCACCTCCCTTATGAGGACAGGCTGAGAGAGTTGGGGTTGTTCAGCCTGGAGAAGAAAAAGCTCTGGGGAGATCTTATAGTGACGTTCCAGTACCTAAAGGGGCCTACAGGAAAGATGGGGAGGGACACTTTTTACAAGGCCATGTAGTGACAGGACAATGGGTAATGGCTTCAGTTTACCCCTTCTAGTATCAGTCAGGTGCATTCCTTGCCTCATCTCCTTTCTATTCACCTTTCATTGTCTTCAATACTACCATTCTCTACTTAATCTTGCTGCCATCCTTCCAGCAAGCAGATGAGCCCCAGAGCTTTCAGCTTTCTTGCTCAGATGATATCCCACAACACAAGCTTATATACATGCGTGGACAACACATTTGTGACTGGATAATGTACATACACAACTCTGGCCTAATTTTTATCATCTCACTCAAATCTTACCCTTCTTTCTTTCCCACTATTGTCAGCCAGTAATATTTTACCAAAGATTGAGACTTAAGAGTTATTTTCTTATACTTGGAGCTTTGAGTTTCACATTTTTCAAAGCAGCAGTTGCCACTAAGTTTCATATAAGCATCTAGTGTACCTCTGATTTCTAAAAACAGCAAGAGCAAGCAGAGGCAGTGGTCTCCAATAAGTAACACCCCATTTAAATGACCATATCCATATCCTCCATGGTCTTAATTTCCTTAGCTCCTAAGAAAACTTTTTCCCAGCTTCATTACTATCCTTTTAGATACTCTTTATTAACTCCATAGATACTTTCAGAACAAATGATATGACTAAAATTGACTACCATAATCAGCAATACATGATAAAATTACGTGCTGAAAGGCAATATGCAACAGCATCTAAAAAGAGAAAGCAGCACCAACTGATCACCTTCACTGAATATTATTTCACAAGAACAGAAAATAGAAAAACAATCTGAGATGACCAACAAGAGAAATAATTTAGTCACAAAAAACACTGGCCTAGAAAAAGGGATACACATACACCTTGTACTCTATCTTCACATTATACTGATTTAGGCTACCACTTCCCAACAAAGCAAATAGTAACTTCTTTATGGTTTAAAACAATAAAAGCTACTTTCTTCTTCAGCAAAGTAGCACCTTTAAGATTTCGCCCCCTTGTAGAAAATATTTATTTGAAAATACCTAACATAAATGTTACATAATAAAAGCATACTTAAAATATAACACTCCATACAGTAACTGATTTTGTGCCACTTTATCCACTGGTAACACACATGTATATTCTTCCTAGCTAAATTCCTATACTCCTAAAAATCCCAGAATTTAAAAGCTCTTTTTCTCAACAGCATATACAAAGCTCTAATTTATACTTCATGGAAGTTAGGTAAGAGCGAGCAAACCAACTTTAAATAGTATAAAAAGCCAGGAAAAGTTCCATTTAGTGACTAAATATCAGGTGTTTAGATTTATGTTCAAGGGTCTGTTTGTGGTTACTAATAATTTATGATCAATCACCAAATACTGAATATTTGCAGAGATAATTTGGCACCTATTAAGAAAATGACAAGTTCCAAAGACCCAGCAATTTGAAAATTTCTTTACTATCCTGTTCTCGACTGCTGAACTGTAGCCACTAATCTAAGTTTTGAGAAATTAAATGCTAAATCAAGTACCAGTTTTACTCATTTAGCTTTAATTTTCTTCCAAATATAATACTTCAACCTTTTACCTTCTACATGCTTTAATCACTATAAAAATAACTCAACTCCTCAGTGTTGTCTTCTGTCAGATACTGATATTTCTATTCTTCTGTACTATAAGACTTCACGCTCCAAAAAACCCTCTCAGAACAAAAATATCAATGCTTCAACATGGTGCTTCTCAATTCACACACATCACAGCAGGACAGTATTGTTCCACCACAAACAAACAGATCTTCAGTTAAGATTTTTTAACTGCAAGAATTCTATTAGATAATAATTAGGGATAACTGGTATTTCAAATATTCTAGAGGAAATTAGAAAAAAGCATACATTGTCTTAGGAAGGAAAAAACCCCAAAACCCAGAGTTGTGTATCTACATAACAAAAATGATGAGGACAAAGTATTACTTTTTCTGCAACATGCCTCCTGCCACACATTAAGCACAAAACTTATGCAGCATTTTAAAAACATACAACTGTGTTAAGAAGAAAAATAATCACAATCTGGGCAGACTCTGCAGCTGCCCCTTTGACTTATCAATTTCAGTAAGCACAATTTCAATCAAGTCTAGATAAAATATACTAATCCTAAATAGACCAAGTTTGTCACCTACCACTTCCTATAAGCTGCTTACTATCCTGAAAAAGAGAGAGAGAGAGAAGAAACGCTAAATTAAATGCCAAACAGTAGCAGACAGCGCTTGTTTGGCTGATTAACTTGTAGACAAGCATTACAAATAAATCTGAGCATAGTCTGCAGCAAATTAAATTCCAGTGCTTTTAAGAACAAAGAATTCTTTCGGAAAGAGGATTAGCAACTTTACACCCAGGAATGCCAGTTTAATTTAATTGTTCCACAATCCAATATTTAATATGCAAATATCATTTTGATATATAACAGCGAATTTGAAAAAGTGAGGAAACAATTTCAACATACAAGAAGTCTGTCTCTTCTGAACTGTAATTATACAAAATAAAGCTGGTAGAAGGTTTTTTTATTATTAGGATTGAATTCTATTAACATGAATCAGAACGAGTCTAATTAAAGGTTAAAAACTTTAAATGTTTCTAATTAAGAGTCTAAATAGCTGCACGATTAGAGTACTATCGTTAAAATCCCACCTCAATGACCTTCCTGGCCTCTTTGTATTTTCCTGTTTGCAAGAAGGCAAAGAAGAGATCATAAAGAGCCATCATGTCACCATATTCGCTGCTTATAAAATCTGAAACTAAAGACAAAATAAACCTCATTAATTTACTCAATATATTGAAGCATCAATATATATGATAGATATTCTTAATCCTAGTATTTTCCAAACATCACAAAACTGCAAGAATAAGCTATAGGGAGATAAATTTTGAAAATTATGGAATGATTACAGCATATTACACAATTTATTGTAGTTTTGCAGTTGAGCACATTTAAAATTGTTTTCTGCACTATATTTTGAATTACATTCAACAAAATTGACAAACTATATATGAGCATTCTTGTAGAAAGCAAGAATATAGTATTTCTTAACTGCACAACTATTTGAAAAACAGAAGTGTTGTTTTACTATTGTTTTGTGCTACTATTGTTTCTTAATATACATAACTAGAACAAATATTAGCACTAATTTTTGCAAGATCATTGCTGTTTTATTGAAACATTAGGATTCTTCTACATTTAAAATTAATATCAACTTTCAATCTGAAGAATGAAGGCATCATTTAAGTGCTTTAAAGTTATACAAACACAAACTTTTTTTTTCTTTCAGCTGAAAGAAATTATATACAAATCCTGGAAGAAAAGCCTCCAGAAAACACTACTCCTTATAGCCAGACAGCATGTGACTACATGCAACTAACCCTTTTGCAGAAGATCAGCGTCTCCTTTTTCTATCAGTCTACAGTAGATGTTATGAAGCTGAAGAATTTTACCATACTTCTTGTAACAGTTCATTAAAGCTTCCAGAGCTGCAGTCATGTCATCCCTTGTGGAATGAAACAAAACAAGAATAAAAACAATCAAACATTCTGAGCAGGAGCAGCACATGCTGAACCCACTTTAGTCTTGAAAATTTCAAGGAAAATTAAATTAATTCAGCAGTCTATAATCCAAGTATGCATTCACAACCCCAGTATACTACAGGTACTTTAAATTAACAGATAAAGTTTTCATACAAACAAATACCATGTATGCTTGACAGGGACAGAAATAAAAACAGAACTACAGATTTACTCTTAAACCTCTTGACTGTGTAATTTTTGATTGCCTGACCACTATTCACTATAAATTAAACAAAGGTGTGAATGCTTTTCATCATCAGATGCACTTAGTTTTTGAAGTTAAATTCTTAAATTCTACTATTATTACCAAACCCCAATTCCACCAAAATTTCAGTTTGCATTTGAGAGTTCTATTTTTCTTGTAAGTAATATCGTGCATATCAGATTACCTCCAAGTCTCTGTTTAGACATTTTCAATTTTTAAGCCCTTAAAATTCTTCCACAGCATTTTTATTTCAGAAGAGATCTCCAGAGTTAACTAAGATAACCACAGCTCTTTAGATTGCTTTATACTTGTTTTACACCTTAACAGACTAAGCTATAAATCTTCTGTTGATTTCCATTGTGTCACAACTGAAGGGCTAGTATTTTTCCATTCTATAGTAAGGCCTGAATCCAATGTGTATTTTCTGCAATAAAAATGTAATTTGTGCAATTAATTCAAAAATATATTAAGGTACCAAAATGTACTTTATGCTGGCCTATCCATGTCACATGAATCCATGGCACTAGTATATATTCATGGTACTACTCAATTAGTGTGTAAGATGTTGACTTCCTTAAAGGGACTTTCAGAAGCCTTTGAGCTCTAAGTACCAGTAACAACTACATTTCCTTTTTTGTTATCTCAGTCCTTCATTAAAATTTTTCCCTACATGTACGGTATTGACACCTTCAGAATTATACATAGTTAAAATGCAAAACTGAAAAGCCATAAAAACAATCAGATCTGGAATTTAAAATAACAACATTCTATACTGTGCAACTAACAGAACTAAATCATCTGCTGCAGACCCTCTTTCAAAGGATTACAACCCAGTCTAAAGAAACCAAACCAACAGAGAACAACCACTGAAACAAACACTGGTAAAACAACATGAAGTTATTTCTTTGAAGGGAAACGTTTAAACTGAATTTGAAGCAAACCAAGATGACAGATACAAAATGAAGTAAGTAGCCAAACAGTCAATAGGACTACATTTTAGTTTTCAAAAGGCTTATCAAATAAAAGGTGGTGGAAGTAGGCAAGGAGGAAAAACAAAAATTATTTTTTTTTAAATCACTTAACAGCAGTACCTGAAGGCCATGATAAAACTGACTTGAAAAAATGATTTTTTTTATTCCTGACGCAACTTTATTATTGATCAACTGAATCTTAACAAGTTAAGATATTACTGTTAAAACCAGCCAAATTCAGACATCCTCTCTTCATGCTGCATTTCTTGTGCAACAAAGATTTTGCTTTTTCAAAGAATGAACTACCTAGACTACTCTATATTACTATCTTTGGCTAGGCTAATATTTTTAAATTTTAAAAGTAAAACACAGAAGAAGAATTAATTTTGTTCAGTAATACTGGCATTCTGAAAATGAACCTAAGATGATGGATTTCTACCTTATCCCCCTTACTGAGCCCTGTTTACAATGCATCTTCTGGCACCCCATGGAGTCATTTGAATTTTTGTCATTTGGGGTGAAGACTAAATTACAGGTTAATTTCAAAACTGCAAGTAGATGTTGCAGGCTAGATTACTGTCATAAAAGAGAAATACTATGGTAGTTACCATAGAGAGATATAAAGCTTTATATAATCAGTATTTTTCTCCTGCTTTAGATGCAAGTTCAGTTAACATCTAAAAAAAACAGTTTTACAGAAAACTACTCAATTTCTAAGGAGGCACAACAACATTTATACATTCAAATTAAAGTTTTCAGTGATAAATCTAGCTTTTCAGATTGATGCTCAAACAGCCACGGTATTGTCTCAGCTGTATTCCTAAAGGATTAAAGTGACTGTTTTTAGGTCAAAGCTATCAATAAATGAATGAATAATTGGAATGTCATTCAAACAGGAACACTGACTGTTTTCTAGACTCTAAATGTATACTTCTGAAGGCATTTATACTATATACGCTGAGAAAAAACGTCAGCAAAGAACTGAGATACCGAAACTGGAAATACTGTACTTGCTACTGCTCAAAGGCACCTGAATAACTCTGTATTTAAGGAGGTCAGTATCTTACATACTAATTTAATGGACATTTGTTTTGAATCTATTGAGATCTGATATTTTGTTTCAGTGGCATTCAAGCAACAAATCATCCACAGTTTACTAGACAAAGGGGTTTGTTTATAAAACAGATAAATGATAAAACTGGCAACAACTATAAAACAATAAAAGGTCTAGAAGTTCAGCCTCTAAAAAGAATTGCAAAGAAAAAAACAGCAAGCTTATGCTTGTAGTTCAGTTAATATGATTTATTCAACAACCTGCAGTATTTCTTAATGTCACAAACTGCAGCTAATTCTAAGTAAGTACCAGCATCTACTATTGTAAGCAGTTTTTACAATCCTGTTAGAAAATGAATGAAAATGTGTATTAGGAACTTACTATAGGCTTCAAATCTCAAGTATAAGTAACATGTTAATGTTCCTTGTTATGACTCACTGACTTCAAAAAAGAATTGCAAAAGAAAGATTTTCCACTTTTTAAGAAAATGCTATTTAGAAATAAGGATTTTAAGCTAACAAACAGCCATACATTTGAAAATATTTGGCAATCTTTCTGTATGAACTTATGCATGGGGAACACCCTTTAATGTTCCCAAAAGATACATTTACACTACTACAGTAAAATCCTGGTCCAAAATTACTATTTAATTAATATGGATCAAGTCAAAAAGGAAATAAAGTCCATATACTCATAGCCATGGGGAAAAAAATGATTTCCAGTGTCAGTCTGGACAAAGCAGTATTTAGAATGTGAACACAGATGATCCATGCTTCATTCCGAGTTGGCCAGATACTACAGCTTTAAGTCACTCACAAATTTTATCTGTTCAGAGCTAATACCTGTTCCACTTAAAGATGAGGTGTATTTTTCCCTCTCATTGAAACTTTTTCTTTTAAAAAAGAAGGTATACTATTATTTTTGAATGACAGAGGGAGCCTCAGTCATTACTGTATTATGCTTGGCCCATATGTAAGCCCCACTTTGGCATTATTTTTCAACTAAATTGATGCTATGGTTAAGATACAAGTTTTTGGGTTCATTTGGTTTCTGTTTAGAATACCTATGAAGTCCAAGATACTAGGGGCCCATTCTTCCAAAATATTTGCATGGGCAATTTTACTCACACAAAGCTATTTGAAGAGACAAAATTACTCAGATGTCTGAGTGCAGAACACACTCTGGAGCAGGACTGGCTATAACACACATGGATATAACATCCCCCTTCAATTTCAACAAGCCACTCCCCTCCTGCTTCAAGAATGTAGCACTAAATCTAACCCTTTTACTTATAATAAACAACTTTCCCAACCAGAGAGTCTGCCTGATAAAAATAAGACTCCAAATATTGATTTTAATTGGAATGAAGTGCTGCAACATTATGCATAAAGCTTTAGTGAAGTGGCAATTTACCTAAGGGGTTTACTGATTGAAAAGCTCTCAAACCTGAAATCACTAGAGAGGTAGAAAGAAAAAAAGGACTCTCTGGGGTGGGGGTGGAGGGTAGACTGGTAAAACAAATCCCTCTCTACAAATCTGAAGCAGATGTTAGTGTAGAGGGAAGTCAATTCAGCAAGGTACAATCAGCTTTACAAAAATTATTCCGTTAAAAGAGAACGGGCTCTTGAAAGAGCTAAATGTTTTTCTGTTCATTTGCTATACTAAGGAATCTTCAAGGAGACTGGTGTTGCAATTACAACTAATCCTCCCCAAAAAATTAACTGTGTTGAAGGCTTTGTAATTTCCCTAGGTACAATTTAGCTGTCACTTACTTTAAAATTTACTCAAACATGCGTTCGGAACAGCACTAACTTCACATGTCAAGTGCTTTCCAGCCAATTGAGTCTAAACTGGAAGTCGGTGTTAAACAACTGAATGATTAGACAAGATAGCTCATTTCCCTGCTCTTTTGTTCAGAATAAAATGCCACATTTACATTATCAGACTCAACAGGATTTTCTGACAGAGGGAGAAAAAACCCTAGTGAACACTGTCCGTACCAAGCACATGAAGCCTGTCATTTACCAATCATCCTTCAAAAAGCAATAGCCATGAATGTAACTTAATTACGACCCAATGATCCTTGACGAAAAATCATCTTATCACTGTCCTGTCCCTATAGGGCAAATGAGACACTTTTGTCCTTTGGCACTGATGATGCTAAATTCCTAATTGCAATAATGGAGTAAGAGAGCCAAACATCCCTAATTTCATTGCAACACGTAAAGAGTTTTAATACAAATATTTGAAATAAAGCTGCTAAAAATTAGAAAAAACTCTCCACACTAGAGATAATTTTTCCCCCAACTAAAATATCATCTATTTTTAAAATATGACTGTTTTTAAAAGTGAATTTAAAAGTCAATTAACTTGTGCATGCTAAGGAATCATTTCAAACAAAATCGTAGGTGAATTTAAGTCCATGAAAACAACAGAAGAAAAACTGGTAAGGCACTGGATTTACACTGTATCTGCTCCATAAGAAACTAAACAAAATGGTTTTATATGAGATTAATCACAAACCAGCACACAATACTTTACTGGACAACGCTGTATTAAAATACACTGACAATTTTTAAAGAAACACAATCCAGTTATATTCTTTTGATGGTTTAAAATACAGGTATTAACTGCTTGCATTCACTGACTTAAAATTATAAAATTTTTTGTTCATACAGTCTGTAACAGTGTTCTCATAGTCTACCTGAAATTTTTCTTCCCTCTGCTTAAGAGCACTTCTGATATAGGGAATTAGTAAATTTCAAACCTGAAGATGGATTGTTTCTTTTCTCAGTGGTGGTGTTACTCAAGGAGAGCAGAAACAAATTTATGCTAATGAAAAGAAGCACATCAAGTTTTTAAGATGTGTGTTCCTGGTTTTAGTTGTACAAAAATTAGCTTGTGCAGTTTTCTTGGAGGATGAAAAAAAAAATCAGTAGTTACTGTATCTGTTAATTTATCATCCTGTAAATAGGTATTATCAAAGTATCATATAGCACGGGAGCAGGTTAGCTTCACAAACCTCTTCTGTTTTAAAATGGCTCATGTTCAAATAGGTTTCCCCTGACAGTTGATAGAGTAAGTAAAAGCCAAAGCTACAGTCCTTAAAATCCTAAGAAAATTTGTATGGTTTAAGTACCACAATTTTTTCCAATTTTTAGCAATTTAAAAGTAAGACATGTTTTAAGAAAAAATACAAGCTCTTCACATCCTTGCAGATTTTACAAACTAAGTTTTTTGTCATACTGCCCAAGGCAGGTTTAGCACCTTGAATGACAGACCAAGTTTCCACATGTGGACTGTCTCAATTTTTAATGGGATTACACCATCTTGAGAAACTGTTCAGAGTCATAAATAAAGATCATAAAATTAAAAGCAGGGCAGTCGTTTCCCTTAAATTTACTCAGGGTAAAAAAAACCCAAAATAGTATGAGTTCTCTCTCTAGTTACTTTGGCTAAGTATTTCTCAAAATATTAAAGGCAAAATGCCCATTCTACTAGATTTTTACATGTTAGATTTTGTCAAGTTACATTGCTCATAATCAACAATTTTTTTTCATTTCCACGCTCTGCTGCAAACTGTCACTTTTAATATGCACTAGGACTTAACAAGAACTTTAGAATATTCAGGACTGGGTAGAGAGAAAAAAGGTAGATGAAAACATTTTACACCTACAATTGTTGAAATCTTCCAAAAGCGAATCACAGATTCCTTTACAAGCAATTAAAAAGTTGGAAATAAATTAAGAACACAAAACACTAGCACAATCACCGCTGTGGAATATTAAAAAATATCCCAGAGCTAATGACAGCATTTCAGAATGATACTTGAGCTGTAGGATGGCAAATAGTAAGCACTACTGCTGAAAGGAATGACTAACACTTACTTTAGTCACTCATAACTTTCAAAACCTCTTAGCATCTCCAAGACGGGGGAGGAAAAAAAAAAAAAAAATCCAGTGAAATTCAGTTATTCCTTCCAGGTAAATTATGTGGAAAAAGCATTCCCCTTCTGTTATAACACTGCAGAGGAAGTAAGTCTCTCCACCCATAAGGCAGCAAAAAAACACAGAAAATGAGGGTACTTTGTATTGTATATGAATTACATATATGAAATGTATATAGGTGAGTACCAATGACATGTAGCCATAGTTTCACAGGATGGAATTACTTTCTCCTTTAAAAACCTAGTCTCATCAAACGTCTCTTTATTAAAAAAACTTTTTAGAAAGTTTTACCAAACAATTATAATTAAAAAAAAAAAGTGGAATCAAACTAAAATCACTCTCTACTGTCCCCCTTTGCATCCTCACATGAACACATCTTTATTTATATCATCATATACTATTTCTCAAGCGAAAAGAACCCAAGTAGCACCATGTACAACTTGCATGTCAACGTGCATAAAGCAATTATGTAAAATGCAGCTGCTCTTACTGCACACTGCAAAGCATATCAGATATTTTTCCGACACATTAGTTACATATGACTGCAGTTAAATTACTTCCATAAACATCTGCCTTGTCTTATGATGTAACCAAGGCAGTGTTGCTGACTGAAAAGATGTAGACTACATTCTGAACTTTTGACCATAACACTAAAACACTATTTTTAGAAGAGAATGTATATATTTCTACCAAGTTACATCCATTTGACAAGAATTCTGAATACAGAAAATGTTATACAGACCTTGAATACCCAGAATACTTACAAGAACTAAAAAAATCTTCATATTAACAGCAATGTGAATGTGCATCTTTGAGGCTGACTCACATGATACTATGAAAAATTCACTTATTTCATACCTGTTATATTTAAGCCAAGAACGTTTCATATACATGAACCAAACCACAATAAACTGATCAATCACTCTAGCTGCAAGAGGTTAAAATCCAGCAACTACATAAATGATATAAAAAATAAAAGCATTGTATATATGAGTAAAGGACATGAAAAGGGACTCTTGGCACATTTTTATTAAGAAATTGTTATATAGTTCATACATATATTAATTCAAATATCCTACACCTCAATGAAAATGTATGCAAAGAAACATGACACATGGAATTACAGATACTTCCTGCCAGCATGAATGTATGAACTTCATTTTCTCTAATGGTATTGAAAGTATATACGGAAAAAAAAAAAAATCACGACAGACCAGATAATACTTTTGAGTTGCAAATTCAGCAACACAGCTGCCTATTTGCAGTAACATGAAATTATTTGAATTATGTGAATTAAAAATATTTTGGTGTTCAACAACCACTTTTCAACTCACCTGAGATGTATTGGATGGCACAGCAAAATAATACTGTTTTGATGGGAAAATACATACTATTTAACCACAAGAGCTGAGAATATACCTATCATGCTCTGAATAGCTATCTTGTCAAACAGACTTTAGAACAAATTCATAAGCATACTGCAATATATTGCCACTTCATCTCTGATGTGTCCATAAAACCCACTGTTGTTCCCAGAGATCATGATGTGATGTACAACTGATGAAAAGAAACTTACCTAACTTGAGAAAACATATTCATTCATTATTTTTCCTAGATCACTCACATATTGTGTGTGTGTGTGTGCATGTGTGCACGCTTGTGTGCATGAACACTTTCAAACATGAATATGCAACTGTATATAGTACAGCAGCAGGTCATACAACACAAATAAATACCGTATCATAACTTCTTTCATCTGAAGCTCAAACGTTGCTTACTTTTCAAGGTGAACTGTAATCAGAGGGGAATGAAGGACAGCAGTTTCTGGCAACCCCAGGTTCACAATGGTCTCATGTAATCGATGCACTGTTTCAACTTCACCTCGCATGGCAGCAGCATTAAGAATGCGGAAAAAAGATGCAACTGTTCTGTCTGAGATAGGAACATCCTTCTCTTTCATCTCTGTTAGAATGTTAATAGCATCTACAATGAAACAACACAAAAGACCCTTAGGTAATTTCATGTAGGGAAAACAAACTGCTATTAAAACAGCATTTCAAACCCAGCAGGAATGTAAATTCTGGTGTATAATGCCGATTTCAAGTTAATTACTACTTGCATTTCTAAACGAGACTACAATTATAAATCCACAATAGCATGGTTTTATCATTTTGCTGCAACTTTGACTACAAATTATAGATAGGAACTGTGTGCCCACTCTGCACCACATAACCCTGTATAGTCTGCCCTATAGCTGCAAGATTCTACTAAATGGATGCTTTTATCGTTCAATGCTAACATCTGCTAAATCACTCCATTGTTTCTTCAGCAGATGGCTTGTCACGAGGCCAGATAATAAAGATATGTTTACACTGTATATACAGCCAGACTAATGGTCTGATACCGATAGGGCCTGTTTGCTGTGTCGATACTAATTAGCCAAGGAGAGCCAATGAAAGCTTTCTAACAGACTGCATGTTAAAACATTAGGTTCATTAAGCTTCATTAGTAAGGCAGAAACAAACATTTTGGTATATGGAATAAGTGCATTTTTATAATGTTCTTAATTATTGCATAGACAGAATGTTTTGACCACTTTACGTTTGGATACATTTATGAATTGTTTTATTTTCTGAGAGACATTTATGCTCTTAAAAGCAAACTAATCTTTTCAAACTGCTTTAATGTAGAGGTGGTCATGATCTGATTTATTATGATTTGGAAAACATCAGCTTTGTTTATTATTTTTCTAACAGTAAGCTTAATAATAAGAGGCCAAGACATATTTCAAAGAAAGATCTTACAAGAAAAAAATACATTAGCTTTTTTATTTTATCGTATAGTGTTTTATATAAAACCATTAACATTTTGTGTCTGGGCTTGGACCACGCTTTTATGGCGTTGAGACTTCTACAGAATCATAGAACTCTATAGTCAGAATCACCTTTTAAAGTTGATGACAGTCTAGAGTTCTTTTAAAGATCAACCAAATCATGTAAATTACAGAATTATATTAGACTGAATTACAGAAATAAAAGTGCTAACAGCTTAATGCAAACATCCAGAAATACAAAATAGGCAGTTTGCAGAAGTCATTAAAAGCTAAGATTTCCAGTCAGTTTGACAGATTTACTCTAAAATTCAATAACAGACATATAAAAGAATACTAACAGAAAAATATATACTTTATAAAAAGTTAAATTATTTTTTGCAGTACTTGGCTCTTATGAAAAGGTTATGTTTATAGGTTTTATGTTCAGCCTTCAGACCTTCTTAAGCAAAAACAAAGCCATTAGTCTAGGCACATACGCAATTTGTGCCATAAGTCATGATCTTCAAACTCAATCCAAACAGCAATCCTAATAAAAACTAGCTGCAGAAATGCAAAAAGCACTGAGCTGTGCAAATGTAAATGACAAGCTTGCCAATCCATTAAAACTAATGGCCTGCACTGTCCAAGCATCTCTGGTTGAATTCACATGCAAATTTGTATGCAAAATGTTCAAGCACTTTCCAGGACATGATATACCATTAATATCAACTCACATTTTTATTCTTGAGGCAAGATACCTTTATTATATAGCAGAAACACATAATGAAAGCAAATGGATTACCTTCTAGTCTGCCATGCTTTGCTAAGACTTCTACCAGTGCTATGTACTTTCCCGTGTCAAGAGCAACAGGTGAATTCTTAGGGAAGCTAGAAATTAAAACATTAATAATTGTATCAACAGAAGTTCACATTTTATAGATTCAACTTAGAAACTTATTTTTAAAGATGCATAACAAAACAACAGCACTGAGAGCTAAAAGTTATAGTAAGTACTAAAGGAAAAATCTGATAGACTTTAAAAGATGCACCATTAAGATGTGATTTTAAAATATTATCCACACAGACGTACACTACCCAAACCCAAAAGTTCTATTTTAAAGAGCCAAATGGTTTAATTAATTGTTTGGTAGTTATTGCATAAAATATGGTATTTCTCAGAAACCTGGGAAGAAAACAGAGTCCACAAGGCTGGGGCAGGGCTATATTCTTTTTGATAAAGAATATGAAACTATTTGCCTACAGTAACAAGATAAAAGCTACTGTTTTGAAGTTTCTGCCATGTATTTGTGTTTTCTTTTTTCTGAAAGTTTTAAAATTAATTCCTTCTCTGTCATTTCTTTTTGTAAGTATTCAAAGAGTCACTACTTATCTATATTATGCTGCACTTGAGGCAGATTACTTAAATGAGATACTGCAGTGAAGCTCCACTAGAAGACTCAATTCTGCTTCATGTAAGCTCACTATGGGGACTGTGAAAGTGGCAGTACAGCCAAAACCAATACATTACTGCTACTGGCAGAGTGGCAAATTTCTTGATATTAGTGCTCAGTTGTTTCACATAATTCCAAATGCTAGCAAGGTGTAATGAGCCCCTGCCCGCTAACCTACTGTAAAACCAAGTACTTTATGAGTGCATATGAGAGAGACAATCTGAAAGTAACACATTTATTGTAGCATCAGACTGAAAGGAGGCTTTCAAGGGAAAAAGGGAAGGGACAAATAGAAAGATGATCTGTGAGAACTTGCTCCAGGATAATTCACAGCCAAGATACAAAGCTCTGAAAACAAAACTTTGAAGTAGAATGCCTGTTGACAGACTTAAAATAACGTCACTCAAAACCACCGTTATTCTAAAGACAATATAGCTGCAGAATATTCTAAACTCATTCTAGGTGCTTTCTAACACACCATGCAGGTATTTTTTTCCCTTGAATTAAGCCAAACTTCAATTTAGACACTATGTATGTTTAAAATAAAAACAAAACAGGTCCTACATAGCAATTTGCCTTTTTTTAAAAAAAAAAAAAAAAGAGATAATTACTGACCATGCAAAGTAGCTGCTTCTGATGTTCAATTATACCAAGCAAATTTTTTGTTTCAAAAACCACACCCGTGACTGTTTTAAATGCACATACATTGCTAGGGAAAACTAATTAAAAATGGATGAGGGGGTTAATACTCAACCTACTTAATTCAACAAGGTCTGTGTATCAGCATAAATCTCTGTGACATGTTTCAGTGCCGGTGTACTTACACTTTTTCTTTCAGGTTCATTGCCTCTTCTACATTATCATGTCGACAGCACAAATTTATTAAGGCTGCATAGCCACCGACAACCATGTCCGGTTCGTATTTGGCTTTCACTTCAAGGGCTTTTTGCATATTCTAAAAAAGGAACAAAGCAAAGATGTGAACTAGAGGAAAAGTCAATATGACATTATAATTCTTATATGTTCAGTGTGCAGTTACATGACTGCTTTAGTGCTTTTAGTAGCATAAGATCACATCTGAAAACACGGTGCTGTAATGCTTTAGCAAATTTTAAGAGTGAAGTTATTTTGCATAAATTAGTATTTTTCTGAAACACCTTTTAGAGTAACTTACTGAGATTTCTAAATAAATTTTCTTGCTTTATATTTCTAGCATGTTTTAATGTAAGACCTTTTTTTTTAAAAATCCAGACAGACACTATAAACATGATTAATCCAAATTCTAACATAGGTCTTATTTATTTGGAATTCATAACAATTTTCACCTGGTAAACTGCCAAACATATATAAAACCCCTTCTTTCTAAAGAATAAGAAACTACTTAATGATCCCATAGGAAGCTTATTTTTTTATACATTCCTATTCATACATTTGACCACTTTGAACTTACAACGCTGTTTGCTTCTAGTCTTATTTCATATGTAAAATTGTAGAGACAGACAGCTGAGAATCACTCTTTCTAAATTGTATTCTTAGCAACAGAGAATATTGTGCTATCATCTGCACAGCTTACTCTTCCTATATATACAGCTTTAGGCAGGATCATACAGAACAAGAAACTGAATAAAAGTGTGGTGATACCCCACAAATTACAGACACACACTAAATGAATGTAAACTACAGCTGGACGCCTGCCGAATGGAGGCAAGAGACCCTTTATCTCAGAAGAGCTTTCCTCCTGCAGGAAAATGGAATTTCAATCCCTGCATTAACAACCTAGTAATATTTGAATTGCAAATGACTAGTGCATGTATCAGTTGCTTGACAATCTAGATATAAGAGACCGGAGCCATGGCTTGAAAGGACATTTGGCATGTATGATAAACCTATCACAGCTGTTACTATCATTCACTTTGCAGATTATTGTAAACAAACTTCAGCAACCCCAAAACATGCCATTCAAGGTGTTGCTGAAATTAGTTAACCTTTTGATTTAATTGCTTTTTGCACTTATGTTTGATTTATAAGCATCAAACCATGAAACCTCAAGCATTGCACTTGTCTTTGCTTAACTGTGTCTTTCCATAATACAGTCATTTATGTCCCTTTAAAAATATAGCTGTGTGTTTCCAATTATCTCCACACTGCTTAAGGTACCTCTTCTTCACAAAGAGCATGTACGAGTTGTTTCAAGACATCTGTAATAGGCTGGTTTTCAGCTTTTCGCTTTTCTAGTTTCTTCTCCAAAGCAGACACGTCAGATTTAGCACTCTAAATGGAGGTAACAGAAAGAATGTCAATTGCAAAAACACCCTTCTCTGAACAACTTGTCGTATCACTTTAATAAAAGACAGACAAAATAATCCTCTTCTTTCATACTCCAAGAAATTTTTTAATCATTTAAGGTGCTTTTATCTGTTTAAACAGTACATACTAATTGAAGATTTGAGTCAGAATACAGTAAAAAAAGCATTAAGCAGCATATCTACAAAGGTCAACATTACTATTTCTCTCGTACTCAGTTCTTTGTGTTCAGGGAAGTAGGGAACAGAAGACTGTTTCTCTTCCCATCTCCACTCTGCTCAGATCAGAGATGTAAAGACTTGACACTCCACCATTAGAAGCAGTATGGATTTATATGGTTCCTGCCACTCAAGTGGATCACTGTAATTTACAAGCATGAATTAAGCTTCACATAACCACTGCTAACTAACTAGAAACTTTCAAAGAAATATTTACCAGACAGGGAAACTGAGGCATGAAACCTCAGCCAACCCCAAGGCCAAGTATCTGGTCTATGTGAAAATCTGGACAGCCTTTACTCCTACTCTGGAAAGTAACCTCTGAACTTCAAATGGTAGATTTAAATAACGTTAATATACTTCCATGATCTGAAAGCTAGTGATTACACTTCATCTAAAACCCATATCCAAACATTATTATTACAGTAAGAACAAGCATAGCTAACTCTGAATTTACTTACTTCTGGAATGTTGTCTGTAGTCAGGGATTTTTTATGAGGCAATAACCTTGCATCCTAAAACATAGTAAGACCAAGATATCACTAATCCCCCTCAAAAGTTCAATCTCTTAAGCATATCATGCTAAAACCACTCAAGTTAATTTTATAATTGCAATACTAAAAAAGCTATATTCTGCAGCATTATTCCAGTGACTTGAAAAAGCACTTATTAAATGTATCTCTTTCACATATGAAAACAGCTTCAACAGTGAAAAATCATGGAAAGGTTAAAAGGCTTACATATAATCACTGCATAAAGATATTTATATTGCAAAGGAGAATATATTCACAGAGTACAGATACTCCATTTTTTAGCTTCAAAGTAATTGCTATAGAACCACAGACCTTAATTAATTCAGGAACTTGAGAGGGGTCCAGCAGTCTGCAAATGCCGCTGTAGTGGCTTGTAGGGATAACTATATTCTGTACCAAGAGGTGGGGAAAAAATTAGATGAGTTTTGAAACACAACCAAACTAAAATTTGTCTAACAGAAATTATCTGAGACGTAATTCAAGTCTCCAGCTCTTGCATGTCATTGAGAAGTGGTCTGGTTGTACTTAAAAGCAGCAATTTCAAATCTAATAGATACATGTCAGGCAGGACAGGCATTATGTAGCAAAAAATGAAATGGTACCATCTTCTTCAGCTGATGGAAGTATTGTCTCAAACGCTCCTCCTTGGCCTGTACCTCTGAGTCACTCATGCTGTCAATCAAGTGATAAAGAAAATAGCCAACAGCTTCTGTGGAAAAAAACAAGAGAAAGCATTCCACTAAAATTACCGAGACTGTCATGTTATCAAGATTAATTTATAAGAAATCATTTTGGTGTGAGATGTCACCCTGATGAGAGGCTCTGAAATGGCAACAATGATCACTGAGGCATAGAGATTATGTGGTTTGGGAGCACATATCTAACTGGTGAGTGAAAGGAATATTAATTATTTTCAGACCTAGTGACAGCTTTTCAGTACAGAATCTTACTTCAATCTATTTTTTCCACTACTGTGTGACAGAAGTGGTACTGCCCAAGGCCTTCCCCCCCTTTCCTGCCCACTACCCCAAATAGTTGCCACAAATATTTTGTCATTGCTCAAAAGAAAAAACAGATTTCTACCACTTTGCATATTTATTCTGTACATTCTACCCATTATATTCTATTACCAAGCTACATTAAGTATTGTAATATTAATATAAAAACATTAAAAATACTTTAACTATTAGATCAACTAATACTGAAGAAATAGTTTATCAACCAATGAAAATCAAGATTAACAGCTTTTGCCAAATAGGGTTAAGTTTCTTATCTATGCTCGTGCAAAAATATAGGGGGTCCTGTAGCTGAGAATAGGAAGGGCAATTACTGTCTTCTCAAAGGTTAGCTTTCCCCATACCCCCTTGCCCTTCTAGCCCTGACAGGAGGAAAACCCCCTGTTTTGTAAAAAAACAAAACAAAACAAAACAAATAAGTATACTTATTTCAAAGTAAAATATTTGGGATATTAAGTACCATTTTGCTTCAGAAAATCAGAAGAGTTATTAAAGGTAAAACTAGGTTGAAAGACTGCCCTTTTTCTTTTTTTGTAGGTATTTAAGCACTGATACTGTGTTCATTCTAAATTTCTATTTTGGTCAATAAACTTCAAAAAATAAATCATTATCAGCAAGATTTGTTTATAACTCTAAACAAAAGATCTCATGGATCTCAAAATATGCTCTGATTATTTGAATCAGGATTTTACCCAACATGTTTTCAAATTTCACTTTCAAAAAGAAGCAATCAGTGTTTACTGTTGTAATCCCTCAAACCCATCATTACACAGAAGAACGGATTTGTGGATAAGTTACAATCATAGAAATTGAAACTCTACCAGTTGGTCCTGGAGGCGTCAGGCAATAACGTTCATCCTTGTACAACAGTTCTGTTATCTGGTAAGACAGAATAATCGTACATTGCAGCCAAAAGAAGCAAGCAAGGACAAATAGTATCTGAAATTGAATTCTCAAAATAATAAAGCATTTCTCTGTTAAATTATTACTCTTTACCACATCATAGTAATTCCCTAAGAAATACAAAGAAGTTTTTTTTGTAAATAATAGGTTTTTCTTGAAAAAATATTGCAAACAGAAATGCTTTCTGAGGTATGGCAGTAAGACAGACACTCTAGTATTCTGTTTATGTATCATTCTACAGAAAATTAGCTATCGTAGGACATAGTTTAAAGCAAATATTCACCAGTGTTGCTCCTGGAGATGTTACAATTATGTTCCAATTTACCAAAAGGCTGAAATTGTCCCATAAAGCGTTTTTATTTTGAAAGAAGCATATACATCAAGAATATAGAAGAACACGATTTACCATGCTGTACTAGATTTAAGATAAAAAGTACAGCTGCTGTAAATAAGTGCAATTTTGAATGACAAAATATGCATCCATAAAAATTAACTGCATTTGACTGAATTCAGCATAGGTCTTATCAATCATACAAACTGAAGGAATACAGTGACTTTACTTCATCAGAGAAAAAGAAGCATTTACCCAACAGCCCCCACATCCTACCTACAAATACTTTAACCTTAACTAGATAATTTTAAAAATCCATTTGACTGTTCTTAAAGAAATTACACCATCTTCAGTTAAAAACTGAGATTTTGAAGTATTTCAAGAATTTTGCTTTATCTGCCATTATTCTAGAATGCAATCTCAAATAAGTTAGAGGGAGATGCATTCCCAGTGTCAAAGTGCCGTGTTGTTAAGTAATGACAAAAGAAAAGGAACCCTCACCTTCAACTGTTAATGAAGATTAGATAAACAAAGCCAGAAAATACCAGATGCACAATGGAATACTGTATCTACCACTTCTCATTCTACCGACACCACGAACACTGTGCACAGTAAAACTACAGCCTTCTACCCTTTTGCCCCTTTCCTCCTACGACAAAACATCACAAAAGAACCTACAACTCCAATAAAATCCAAGGAAGTCACGATAACACAGTTCTGAATCAAATCTCAGAGAATACCAAAAAAGATGAGTTACATTAAAGAAAATGAAAGTGTGATATTATTTCCAATGCTAAGTATCTATCTATTTCCCAAATTAGCATTTCTTATTTTTAGTATCTTACATGTATTTACTCATAAATTCAGCAAACAACAAAATTTATCTTTCTTCCATTGTGGAGAACAGCAGAAGTAACTCTAGACACTACTTCATGTGGAGACCACCATTACTTCAGTCCTCTGACTGTCCCTCAAAATTAATTTCATAATGGCAGTAATGAAAGATCCCAATTTTTTCTCTCCCTGCCCTCCCTTTTTATTTTTTAAATACAAAATAGGAAGGATAGAAGCAGAAGGCAAAAACATCCTCCCACCACAATCTTCACACAAAAGAAAACGGTAGTAAAATACAAAAGCCCCTGCACCTCACAAGCTGTATCTGATTAATATAAATCATTAATCAGTGACTTTCCACATTAAAATTTCCATTTTATTCCAAGATTTCTGTGCAAAATCTAAAATACACTGGAAGACATGTATTAGGAGGTACAGTATCAAAGAAAAACCACAGTGCATCCCTTCCTAAATTCTGTAACCACGCCTCAGGCAACAACTGCTCTACTCTAGTGTTCCGCAAAATTTATTGACCAAGTTATACTGCAGTGTCTTTCTAATGTAACCAGGGAGGGCAAGATTATCAGTCATTTCCCCTTGGCTTCATGCAAGTATTTCTTCTACCTGGCTTTGCCTTCAATATTTTAAGTTACATGACAGAAACTTTAAAATTCTCATTGTACCCTATTGTTTTATTAGTACTAGTGTAGGGACAGGAGGAAAATTTAGGGAAAGCAGGAAAGGGAATTAAAGAATGTCAGACTGCACAGCCATGGCAGACTGTTCCAGAAGCTAAATGATATACATATTGATATATATATATATACACACACACACCCCATTTCAGCTATAACAACACTGATTTAGAAACGGAAGTGGCATAAACTAAACTACATGGTAACATCACATTTGATTTTTCACAATTACACTTAACTGTCCAATCTGAAAACTCAGTTTTATACAGTTGTACAATCTGCCACTGACAAAAGTCTTGCTCAAATGAATCGGATCTACAATTACTGGGCTCAGAATTCAGATTTACAGTAATGCATCATAAACATGCAGTTCCTAAAGAACTTGATTTTATTTACAGCATTATTATATGGACTTACCTTGCTCCAAAGAGATACATCATCTGAGCTGAAGAGGGCAGCAAAGGATAACAAATTAAAAGCAACGTAATGATTCTACTATGGTATCTTTTTTCAGAAAACCCCACACATCATTAACACTGAGGATCTTATTCAATTATTTAAGTACAATTAAAATAAAATAATTTCCAGATATCGTTTAAACCAACTCTGTACAGAATACTACTGAACTTTTTACTATACCGCATACGGTCATAGTTTCTGCTAAATAACTTAAAATCACGCAGCAATCCAAACAGATAACTAAGAATATACTATAACAGATAACAAATTACAACAAATAAATAATATATTTTAGTTTTATTTTTAGTTCAATCTTTTAACACATTCTAATATTACTTTTTTATGTTTCATTCTATCTAGCATTTCAAGAAAGTTTTACTCAAGTCACACTTTACAAAGCAAACACTCAATACATGGAATTTGCAAGAGCAAAAACCTAGACTCCTGTGCATTAAAACTAGGTTTTTAGTAGAGACAGGTAACTACAGGCAGCTATAAATGCATTTATACCATGCAAAAAAGAAAGTAATCAAATCTCTTCAGGTATAAAGTTTATTATAGTGAGATAAATAGATATTTTTTTAAAAAACAGAAAACAAAACACAGAACTCCATTTTTTCCCTTCATAGAACAGGACAGAACTTGATGGAGACAACTTCACTGCACATCATCAGGTTACAACCAAAGATCAACTGTTAGCCAGTTCACTTAAGTATATAAAAACTGACATATTCCTGTAATTTGTAGAATATAAAAATTCTCTCTAGATCCTATAACTTTTTGACAACTATAAAGGAGCATTAGCCTAGACAAGGCTAAGAGAACAATAACTTATGACTTTATTGTATCATCCTGTAATTCTCGTAAGGGAAAAATAAGATGTCAGTCTGAACCGCTGCATAGAAACTTGAAAGCATTCATAGAAGTTTAGGATTTTATTTAGGAGGGTCAAGATTATGAAACACTTATTCTTTCTGCGCAACTGCCACCTGTATTTGAAAATGAGTCAAATGCAGGTCCACACAGAGGATAAAAAAAAAAGCAGCTATCTGTGAGGTTAGTTAAGCTTTCCTGGGTGAACTTGCTCTACCACTGACAGCATGACAATGAACTGAAGATATCAAATGCATCAATTTCCTAAAGTACTTGACTCTGAAATAGTAATGGTACATCAGGCAGACAGAATGGGAATACTTCGAAGCAGTTACTAGAGAAGAGCAGCTTCAACAAAAATCCATAAACTAGTCTGCCACAGACATTGTTCATGTGTCCCTGCTGTCCATACCCTGTACTTCTGTACGACAGTCCTAAATTTGGCTCATTTAAACATTGGAGACCTGCATTTAGTTATAAAATTTTGCTGCAGTCTTTACAAAAGGTAGAAATGTTCTTTTCTTCTACCCTCAAGTTTAATTTTCAGGCTGTTCTAGCCATTAAATTTAAAATAAAAAAGGAAACATGAATTGGCACGCTTTCAGAAACAATAGAAGGGTGAAATCTGGGCACAACCAAAGTTGGACATAGCTTCTGGAGCCAGGTAGCAATAAAGGCAAACAAGAGAAATTAATATTAAAGAAATTTTTAAAAATATGCCATGCTTAAAAGTGGCAAGGAGAGGGTGGAAACAGTAAGCAGGAGGGGAAAAAAAAAAAAAAAACAAAAAAAAAACAAAAAACAAAACAAAACAAAAAAAACCAAACCAAACAACTAAAAAACCACAAAGCCAAACCCAAACAAAAAAGAACCCAACCTTAATTTCCCTCAGAATTCTGGAATTCCAAGTTTTTAGGCCAAATGTCCAGTAGCTATTGAAATCACAATAGTAGTAACTGTTCCACTGCTGAGGAGAGTAACTGTTTCACCTGAGGAGAGTATGATTCCTCAGCAGCTAGTTTTCACAACACGAGTTGGGTAACATCTTAAAGATACTTGAAATCACATTCTGAACACCTGCACAATTTTCCAGTGGTAGGGGGTATTTCATGGTAGCATTGGCTGTGTGTGGTAAACATTGGTATGGCTTTCTTTCTAGTGCAAGTCCTACTTCAACTGAATATTTATATTTATACTTACAGAGAAAAAAATGCGTTTCAAAAGCCTGTTTCTTTAATTAATACATCTGAAATGAATGATTCTGGGGCTGACTACTAAAAGGCATAGTAAAATAATCTTACTGCATCTAAAACATTATTTCACTTATCCCTTGGATGTCAAAGTCAGCTAATGCCTTGTTAACAAACCCAATTTGAACACCAGTTTGCTTTTTCTACCCCTTTTATCATGGTAGAGCAGGATCAGCTAGATAGAACTTGCAATTTACTAGGAAATTACTTTGACCATATTCACTTGATATGTTTTGCTAATGTCCAGCCTAAACATAGCTACATCTCATAGCCACTACAAAATTTTAGGAAATAATTTGGTCAACAAAATCAGCCTTCAGACTCTGGTCCCAAGCAGTATTAAGTGAGCTCTCTGCTTCCCAGTGGTATAAGTATGCTGAAAAAAAGCCCTCGTTCACAGTCCAAAATGTTTGACTGGGGCAAACGGTGAATGACAGAAATTCTTGTTAATTCACATATACTTGCATAAGCTTAAAACAACCCTGAAGTTAGCAAGGAACCCTCCTTGCAAAATGGGACCATATGGCTCTGAATACAAAGTCATGGCAATGTAGCACAATACTAGGTGTTAAATGTGAGCATTTGGGAGTCATATTAACCCAGAGAGCACAAAAGCTATCCTATGTAGTAGAGTATGCCTGGCTCCTACTGGTATTTCATCTTAAGTACCCATTTACTTCAATGGTTAGTAGTGATAACCTTTAGGGAAATCTTACATTAGCACAGCAGTTCATAAACAAACAAGCAAATAAAGATAAAACCTCAAATGTTTGCTACCCTGAGAAGTTTATATACTGCCAAATACCGAAGAACAAACAAGAACAGTGAAGTTCTTTTTAATGTACTATATATAATACTTCAAGTGTATGCTGCATAGACTTGCAATCAACAAGGCAAAAGAGAGGGAACTTTGCTACAGAGGAAAAAAAAAAAAAAGAGGTATTCATATAGTAACCTTACCTTTTAAAGCCCAAAATAAGGCTGTTTCTAAAATGGTGAATATCAATAGGAGGAAAAAAAAAAAAAAAAAAAAAATCCCTGAACTGCAACAAGTCAGTAGGTCATGTAAAAAGGGTGAAGAACTAGAAGAACAACTATTCCAGAAGAACTAGAAGAACTATTTTGTTAGCTTAATAAATCAAAATTTCAAATACTGGGGCATTTGAAACAGTCCTGGTTTTATCAGCTCTAAATCTGCTCCATTTCAAGAGATCAATATTCTAAGAGATTTTTCCCTCTTCATTGTCTTTAATGTCAATAGTTGATAGGTCTTTTATACAAATTAGGAGTAAGCATCTTATCTGTAAAGAAGTACAAGACCTAAGAAAACATTATGTTCCAAAAAGCAAAACAAAAGCCAAACAATCCTCTTCAAGAAAACTTGAGATATTAGTGCTGGAACAAAAAAAGAACCATCAGAGGCAAATGGTTTACTAATTGTTTCAGATCAAGGATCTGCCTTAAAACAGGCTTTAGTGTTTTGCCAAAACCAGTGATACTTTCTTAGGTGTTTGCTTCTGTTAGTGCAAGTTGCCTGACAAGAAAGAAAAAGTAGTTCCATCTGAAGTGCTATCCACTGAATTAATTTAAATATAAGGGGAAAAAAGAAAAAGATACACAGTTCTAAATCTTGATATTTACAACATTGGTTGAACACCAAGGAAACTCTAAAATTCCTGAAAACTAGATGTCCTAGAGAGTTAATTTACAGTTATGCCCTATGTACTCATCTTTACATCAGTTCTTGGCTAAATATTCTCAATTCTGCCTTCTTCCTCTAGAATTGCTGTGTCTCATTCCAGCATCATAGTCCAGTAAAAAAAAATAATACAGTTCTAGATGCATTTAAGTCCTGTATGAAGTAGTTATCATTTGCCTTCACTATCATGATAGAATTAACCCCTGTAAAAACCTGACTGCACTGGGACCTTTCAGCAAGGGCTGCAATATGGTATATGGTAGACAAAACTGATACAAACCCACCAGGCTCTATAGAAACCTGGGGAAAAAAAAAGGCAGGAACAACCTGCTAAAACCACTCCCTAGTCTAACTCCAGGCATTTAGAAAATTAAGTTTTAAATGTTGGAATGTTTAATTGTTTTAATGTTTAAATGTTTGTTTTTATTTGAAAATCTCAAGTAAAGTTGGTTTCAAGAAACCCACAATACAAATCCTCTTTCAGTGGTATATTAAACTTTTTGCTCACAAAAAGACAAGCAGAAAAGCATCTTAGTATGCTCAGCTGCTGCTGACAATCGGCAACCTGGTTTCCCTAGCAACAAACAAGTCTGAGAAAATCAAGGGGCTGACAATGAAGTGGAATGGAACGGCATGATAAAGGGAAAAAGCAGCTCTCATGTACGCTGCCTTATGTGCCCAGATTCCTCAGCTGACGCTTCGTAGTTTTCATCTTGTCAGTAGCAGAAATCTATACATTATAAGGCATGAGAAGCTGAATCAATACACCAAGATAGCAACCAGCATTAATAACCAACCTTCACCTCACCCGATTACACTGATGAGACATCTTGAACTATTTTCCATGCTGCATCTATTTTTCCCTCTTTGTAATACAGCAAAAGGAGCCAAGTCAAAAAAAAAAACCCACCAGCTGTTTAATATCTGTGCCTTATCATTACATAGGTGCTAATTAGATTTACTAGCATTCATTTCAGCTTGGTAAACTATTTACAGGAGTACCTTCCTTTAAAGCTCAAGTTCAAAAGAAATTTCATATGTCTCTATGAATTATTAACCCTAGTCTTTGTAAACAGAAATACCACTACAAGATTTAAATTCATCACACAGAAAACAGCTAAATACACTGTGTGAGACTAATTTCATGACAGTAAGACAGAACGCAGCCTACTATACATGCCTGTATCATAATTTTGATATCATATACATTTACCATATATCAGACACACACATATTTGCGCCTTATAACACATTAAAACCCAACTATTTCAGTTAACCAAAATGAGCGTGCAGAGGTGGTCTACTTTTTCATGTAGGCAAAAAAACCCCACCCTAATTCACTTTCCAGAAAAAAATTCTTTGCTCCTAATAAATAGTTATCCTTTCAAAAAATTTTCAAAGCTAATTTAGGTACTTCATTTTTCATGTTTGGCTTGTTGGGTTTTTTTGGTAATAACAACATACAACATAACTGCAGAATGTAAGGTGACCCTTAAAGATTCACTAATTCTAATACAAAAATTAAATCACTAATTGGTAACTACTCATTTAGTTTTCTCATTTTCAACATAACAGCTTCCCAGGGTCACGGGGTACAGACTACATATTTCTATATTTGTTAAACAAATCGGTTAGTGACAATTGCAGCAAAAGACTGCTTAAGCTTTTCCCTGAATCTTGGGCAATGAAAGCTGTTGTTTACAAGAGATCTTTCGATAGCAGAGTTAGTCCAAATTTAGGTGTTTTATCATTCTCTCAGTATACTAGGGAAATAAAAACTGTATTTGTTTTACATTTTGAAGACAAAGATCGATTCCTACCTAACCAAGTAAATCATCCCATCCCATACATTCAGTAAATGACATGCATTAACTTCTGTGAGCACCGAGCATAAGAAGTCTTTAGAGAAAACTCTAAAGTTTTTTTTTTTTCTTTTTAAAGTGATTAATTCATGCTTTTGCAACTTCATCACCTAATTAATCCATCAAATCTATACACATAACTTCCACGACCAATTAACAGAGTACACTCAGGTTCACATCTGTGACAATCAGTTCTTTAAAGTTTGTGCTTTCATTAATGATTCTGTAGTACTTCAGAGCCATATTGTTAAGCATCCTGTTGTAATTGATGCTGCAAACAAAAACAATCCTGCACCAATTTAACAGTCATTGTGCAAGGCAAATTATTTCCTTAAACCCCTAAATACAAGAGGATCATAATCCTATCACAATCCCAGCAAAGCTGCAACCTGTAAATATCTTATATGTAAATCTTATGGTCAGGTTTAACACTTAAAAAGAATTTAACCATGACATGTTGTCCAGAATTGATAGTTTCAAACAGTCTGATGTCTCATCATAGAGGACCTCACATAATTAAAGCTTTGCTCATTTCCCATGTATCTTTAAACCAAATATATTAATACATGTAAATCTCAACCTACAACCAATCAACACATGCAACATGAAAAATACTTACATATATCAAGAACATTGTTCAGTCTTCCATGTGCTGCTTCATATCTTATTTCTGCTACAGAGAGTCCAACAGTTTCAAACAGGCAGTCATTTTTCTAGAGATAAAGCAATCAATCATTGGAAGTACACACAGAGACCTTCTGATACTTCATATTTTTATACACTTCCTTCCCAGAGGACACTGGCATTCTTGTCTTGATAGCTGTTCAGAACATGGAAGGTGCTCTACAGAAGTCTACACAGCTAGCTAGGTAAGTTTCTACTGATCAAAAATTATCCAGCTTTTGTATTGAAATCAATTGCAAGGGACAAAGTTACCAAAGGCAGAAAGAGATGAACAGTTAAACTTAAGTCTGCAATTCTGAATTCTTTAACAAGTTTAAAAAAAATAAAAGCACTGGAAGCAACTGTAATGCTTCTAATCCCTAGTAAAAAAAGGTCATCATTCATTTATTTAATTTTCACTTCAGGAAACAGAAAGCTATTAAGTCTTGAGCAAAATATTTTGGTTAGCTCTGAAAAGGAGAAAGAAAAGCAGCAGGAAAAAGACAAAGTAAACAATCAGTGCAGCAACTGTTTCAAAAGTAATCTAATATTCTCAACAGGCTTCATCATACCAACCTCACATTTAGAGCACTGCTGGGATCTAAAGCCTTCACAGAGAACACAGAAAAAAAAAAAGTCATGCCATAGTTATTTTTATGAATTACAAATGTAAACTCACCTTCAGCTGGGCACGGGCAGTTTCACTATCAGCAAAATTTTTAAAAACATAGTTTGTGTACGTTTCCACATCAAGTTCCACCCCCAACTCGTGCATCACTTTGAGGACCTCAAAGATACCTATCAAAGCAAAATTGGTAAGGCTAAACATTTCAGAAAGATGAAAACTTGAGACTCAACATTTAAAAATAAACGCTGCTTTTCAAATAAAGGACTTGTCTCCTCAATTTCCCTCCTTGAAATTGCTATACAAAATCCTGCATTTTAATTTACATGTTAATAAAGTTCTTAACTGTGAAACTTAAAATTCATTTATTAAACTTCTCATTCTGTGCTGTACTATAAAAACCATGAAACTCTTGGCTAGTATGGAAAAAGTTATTTTCTAACACAGAGAATATATGACAGTGACTTTTAGTTATGTTTTCAAAACATTTTTTAGAGCTGTATATCAAATGTTCATATTATCGTGCATAAAAACCAGATCTGAAATATGATGTAAAGTATATAACCAAATTCAAGATAAAAATACATTCTTCAACACATAATACATTTTTAGCTTAGTTCCCAGTATCCAACCCTGATTAGCAAGGCAAATTTTCAAGATTTGTCTCTAAATTTAAAACAAATAACATTTTTGTAAGCAAATAAGGTTGATTATTAACACATCAGCTTCAAACTGGAAATGCAGAGAAAGGCTGGAGTCTCCCAAGCCTGAAGCTACATTATAGCTTTTACAGGGTTCAGATCAATTCACACAACACTGCATATGACTACTGTAGATAGGCATTCGAAGGCAACGGATACTAAAGCTTGATAGTGCAGCAATTAGAGTGCAGAGTTTTAGAGTATAAGACATACTTTCTAATTGCTCACACTCTGCTGATTTGCAGAAACTTCTTACAGTAAAGTAACCCTAGCTAGCAAACTGTGAACCCCTGTCAAAACTAATACAGGTATTATCGTTTTTTGCTGGTCTAAAATTGATTTGTCAGTTGCTGCAGGACACCAGTACCAAACAGCATATGTTTTTTTCAACTTGCATTTCATACTTATTACTTTAAAAATGTAAAGTTTCCCAAAGTCCCTGTCTTTGCCCTGGAGTGCCACCTATGGAAAAGTGACACTTCCATGAATATTTTATGCAGTGCACTATGGTGCAAATAATCAAATGTGAATTCCCTTTGAGCACTTGAAAATACATGCAGGCAAGTCACACTAGATTAAAGTCGCATCATCTGTTCAAGTTTGCCTTAAACAAAACTGTGATTTTGGCTTAGAATCTGAAAAAAAAATATAAATGAAGAATTAATTACAGTAAGTCTTTCTTGATCCCTTTCAAATTGTGACAGCTAGTTTCTATTTCATGTCTTCAGCTTCCCAGAATATGATGAAACCTTTTCAAAAATAATCGTATCTGTATCACTAGGAAGTAATTTGAAGACCAAGAACTCGGGAGATTTGAGTTGAAATTTGTATCAAGAAGAGAGTAGAAAACAGGCTTGTTAAGCATATCCATTCCCTTGTAGAAATCTGTCACAAATGTGACTGAGTACACAAACATGAACTGTGAGTTCCTCAGTAGGACAGGGCACATGTGAAGGTTAGAACATCAGTGAAACAGTGAGATGCAGATTAAGGAGGAATACCAGTAACAATACTGCATGTAAACATATTAAACACAAACTTTAAAAAAATGCTGCCACACAATACTTCATTTCTAAGATGGCTAGTGAACAATTTTGGGGTGAACAGAAGATCAGTGAAAACAAACACAGATTCCTACAGTTTTTCTACCTCTATGACAGCAGAACTACTTTATTATGATATAGATATCTTCCACAATACAAAGCAACAAAACATTGCCAATTCAAAACGCTGTAAAAATTGTCAAATACGTACATGAAATTGGATTTGAGCATTATGTGTGTGGACTTTAACAAATTCTTTGCTCCTCATATTGGAAAATACACTAATCTATTCCTTCTCCTCAAATCAAAGAACAGACTAAAGAAGAGACACAGAAGTGGAGTCACATTTACCTAGAACCACCGGTCTCCCCAACTTTTTTGGGAACACACCCCTAATACATGTATATTTAGAAATTATATAAATGTACTACTGTACTGATGTATTACGCATATAAAACATACACAAAAATAGAATATAAAAAAGGATGAAATAATTCTTTATTTATTAACAGCCCACTCACACCCCAATGTATTGCTTTGCACATCCCTTTGGAGATGTGCTTACTGATCCAGAAAACCGGGTATGACTAAAACCCACAATAAAGTCTTCTGGCCATCTCCCTGCTTGATCAAGAATAGGTTTTTTTTAGATCTGGGGCTAAGATATGTAAGGACTGCAGGACCCAAGTATAATCAAATAATTGAGTGAGTGAAAAGAACAAAAATAGGGAACAAAACAGCCAAACTTCTGTTCTCCTTTTTGTCAGTACTAGAAAGAGCATTCAAACACCTCAACAGAACAGATTCCAGCCTTGAATCAGTACATCGAAGAACAAATACAGAAGAAATGAATTACAAGATGGTCATAATATTTTCGTGGTAGAGCAGAGCAAATTGCTGCTTTTCAAGAAGTAAAAAGGGAGACATGCATTTCAGTCCACTTCTCATTTCCTAAGTTTCTCACAGTAAGTTGTGCCTTCTTCCTAAAGCAGTCTGATCAGAATTTCTAAAGCAGTTACATCCAGTTCCACATGTAAAAGGGCAGTAAAAGTGGGCTTTAAGCATTTTCTAAAGAAAAAAAAAATCACCCTCCAGTTCAAAAAGTGAGGTCACATTCAAGAAAACAGCATAATATTTAACATAGTTTTGCTGTGCTGTTAGTTTCAGATGCACTCAAAGTTCTTTGCCAGAAAAACCTGTCTTCAAAACAGTATTTCAAGCAGTTACTTCATGAAACCACCACCTTTATTACTCTCTGGACTCAGCCTCTAATTTCCCGTATTTCCCAATGTAAAAATTGAATTACCATTCACTAAATGTGCTTTGTGTTGTTACAGTTCATAGAAAACCAAAGTAAAATACACAACTGACTTTTAAAAACTGTCTTTAAAAAGAATATGATTATAGAAAGATGAAGGGGAGCTATAAAATACTCAGTTGCCAGTGTAAATCAAACATTTCTGCTTATTTATACTAGGCCCTCCTGTTTTTAGTGTATAATCTGATACAAGATGTATCTCAGTGCCAGTAACAGTTTCAGACCTACCACGTATTGATCCTTTAAACCCTGCAAGCACTTTCCATTCCTAAAAGCCTAATAGCTTTTATTTAGATAAATACTATGGAAATAAGTAATTATCAACTTATATAACAGATGCACATAAAAGCAGGAATGCCCACCTGAAATTATTTTCCTGTATAAGATGACTGAAAAGAGCTGTCTGCTATTTCAGAGTGGTTAAGTTCTCTACAGTATATTTAAAACTGGCCTTGCTTAGTTTCATTCCTCTTAGCCACCACTTCACAGCTATTTTTCTTTCAAACTCAATTCCACAGTACAGAAGTTAGGGAACTTCCTTTGATATCCATTGTCAGTTTTTGTTATAATAAACATTATATAAATGTGTAATTATTACGATTAATAATATAAGCGTTTGTGTCACATTATACATACTGATTAAGACACTGTACCCTGCAGTGCTAGAGAGGTTGTTGCTTCTCGTTATTATGTCTACATCATATCAGATTTTTAATAGTTTTTCCTCAAAGTTCCTTTCAGTTTTCAGCCTTACCTATACCGAGATGCAAAATTACACACATTAGGCCAGGATTACTACTGTGTAGAGAAAGGAATCATTACTTCGATTTTGGTATGAGATGTGACACAGTGTCTATCTATACTTTTGTTCACACAGCTCTATTATCTTTTGCTGCTAGAAAGCACCGTTCTGTTAATTTACTATCTGCTCTCACCTTTAGGTTCTCACTGCAGCATTATTTTTTGCTCTATGAAACAATTTCAGGGTGGGGTTTTTCACCCCATTTACTTTTCTTCAAGAATATTTCTTGTATTTTTAGGTAGTGGGATGATATTTATTCATATTTTTATTATTAAATTTCAAAAAATGAATAAGAGCTTACACATGGGAAAAAACAAGACAACTTATTTCACTGCAGCAAGAATAATTCCACTGATTCTTCACTGCAGACGAAATTCCTTAGATATTTTCTTATGTATTTTAAGAATTGCGAAATCACTGACTTCTGTAGGTATGCACACAGTAGTAATGCTACCACTTGACAATTCAAACTTGCAGACTAATTACCAGGTTATAAAAACACGTTTGCAAATCCACAGTATTATCATACAGCCATACAGAAGTGTAGGTATCCGATGCCTTTGCAAATATAAAAAGAAAGGCTCTCTAGAAAATGGCAAAGAAGTTTTCTTCTCAATTTGCTTATATGACTTGCAGCAGTAACTACTAGCCAAAGCACAGTCTATTTCTATAGTGGGAGTCCAAATTAAGGCAACTTCTGTCCTTGCTGAAGACCAAAATATGTATGAAAACTTAAGTTGCTCTCTATGGTCAGCTATTGCTTCAGTTTTGGGAGCTATCTAAGAATATCTAAAACCAAAAATACTTTTGACATCTCTTATAACTGTGTTAGTGAGGTAAAGCTTTCCACAGAGTAACGTGGAAAACGTTTTTTTCAGCAGGCAACATGCACAACAGAGAAGTAAAACTGCTGATTCCAACTTACTTACTTTTGGCAACATTATATCTCAAGTTAAGTCACAAAGTACCCAACTAAAACAAGGTTGCCAAAGAACTTTCAAGCATTTGAAAACCTGAAAGACAAACTTGGAAAGTATTCTAGCAGGAACAGAGCCTAAGGAGTTAATAAAAACTGAATATTGTTTTCACAAAGGCTTTTTGAAAAAGACTCGAGACATTTTTATAGCCAGAAACAATTAGGGAATACTTGTTTCAGCATTTCTTCTGAACTGGAATGTGACTGTATATTTAAGATAAAATTGCGATATGAAGAGTCTGCTAAAAGCACTTTTTTTTTGTTTGTGCATTTTGTTTGTCACCCAATGTCACACTAACAACTCTGCATCTCATTCTAAAGCACATTATACTGTGAGATAAGATGAAAAAGACAGTTTTTTGTTTCCCCAAGGGGGAAGTACTTCTGTTAAAAGCATCTTTTTACAATACCATTCTTTCTGAATTACCAATAACGCAAACCAAAGAATTAGATACTGTACTCTCAAATTTAATATTTGTTCAATTCTTATTCATATCCTGTAGGCATCCCCATGTGTAACAGGGGTAAGTATGCTAAATGCTTAAACCTACTTAAGAATCCCAAAGATTGAGCATTTCTGTCCTTCAATCAGTACGCTGTCAGGTCAGGCTCACACGTTCAGCAATGGAAGTTCTCCTGTGTTTTTTATTATAGTAACAAAAGTCACATTTGGCTTATCAGGTAGATGATAAGAAGTTGGTTTGAAAAAAGGATTGGGTTTGCAGTCCAAGAGAACTATTATAACACAACCTTACTTTTAAATTCTTCTCTCAAATTTCAGTTTCTTCAAGAGTAAACTCTGTAAAAGGTAATGAGCAGCAAAAAGAACCAGTGGAAAGCAGAAAGAATGTGAAGAGTTAAAAAGATAATTAAACACTCTTTAACATCTTTCTATGCAAAGGTACTTTAAATTTGTAAACCTGTACCACTATCAAGTAAGAAAGATTTTTTAAAAGTGTTTCTGAAGGCAAAATTGTTTGCAACAAAGTAAGACATGCAGCAAGGTCTTGTTTACTTTCAAGAGTCTGCTGAACATTGTAGCAATGTTTTAATATGGATTTGTGTGCCAGGTTTGCAATAAAGCCAGAGGAGCACTTTCAGATAACTAACCTCCAAGATTCTTCTCTTTCTGGAACACAACTAGCAGTGGCCAGGAATAATGAGGTCTGAGTGGCAAGCCTTCCTCTTTCATTATCTTCATCACATCAATGGCCAAGGCTGAAAACATTCACAAGATAATTAAACAGTGACCAAGTACTTTAATTAAACATATGTAAAATAACTAAACAAGCAGAGTACCTGATTTGTTGGTCTCCAAAGCACAACGCAAAATAAATGGTAATGGTGCTGAGTGCATTTCTGCTTCTTTTAACTCAGTACAAAATTGCTTCAGCTTGTTCACAGGCTGCAAAGAATTTCAAAAATTAAATATATATTTCAGTTTCTCCAATTAATAAGAATATCAGACTCTTCGATGTTTAGGAAATGGATATTACACACGCCAAACATGATTCCTTTGTTAATTTCAATTTACTAAGCAAATTGATATGAAATATTTAAATCCTTCTTTTATTCTTTAAGAACCACACAAAAAATATATCATTTTCCATCTTCACAGTTTCATTAAACTAAATAAACATACTGTTATTATTATATTAAGAAAAAAGTATTACTATTCTGCATACCATATCTCTATTTACACAATGTTGCAAGAAGAAGTTACCGTGGTCCACATTACCACGTGATAAAGGATTAAGAGACTTCAAAATATGGAAACCTATATCTTCAAAGCCATGAGTTACGAGAGTCAAACACAGGTTCATTGCATCTAGCAATTGAAAAGCAGAGAACAACACAATTAAAAAAGTGCATATAACTATTTTTGCATTAAAATACTAAAATTAGTTAAACTAGCAAAATATTTTACAAGAAACTTTAGCATACTTTTAAACATAATTAACCAATCAAAGACTACCTTTTCAGATTTATATTTACCAATGAAATTCACTTATCCCATTAGAAGACCATGCCAAAAATTACAGAAGCATAACCACTGCAGCATGACAGAACACTAAATAATAGAAACACATTTCTAGACACATCAAAAAATGGATGAAGTATAATTAATAGTTATCAATCAGATTACACATAACTGCGATACAAAGTGACTTTAACTGTAAAGAAAACTATATTCAGTTCTTAGTTTCCCTTTTTACGATATTCATAAAGAGCTGTCACAACAGGAATTACAACAGTGTTGTTTGAATAAAGGACTCCACAGTTACAGCCTTCCTATAAAATCTTAATGAAATTTACAGGTTTAAAAAGTGGATAGTTTAACTTTTATAAGTAAATTATTAAAAATGATTTATATTTAAATTTTATAAAATGTAATCTAAAGCAGCACAATTGAATCAACAAACTAATGGCAAAAATATTATATTCCCTAAGTATTCAAGAGAAAAATACAAAATTCCCTATTTTTGGTAACCTTAGTTATTGTTGGGGGAGGAGGGGGAGGAAAAAAAAGAAAACGCTTTCCCTTTCTACCCTGAGTAGCAGAACACTGCTGTAGTAGCCAAGGACATACCTGGAAGTAATTCCTTTTCAAATCGTATGCGTTCTTTAATATCTTCAATGTACTGAGGATATCCAGCCTTGGCAAGGCTAAAAATCACCTGCATCAAAATCCGATCCATAACGTAACCTTCAGTCTTCTCAACCTCTTCTATAGTCTGTAAATGAGCAGAAATTTACCTTTAATAAACTCTAAAGTGACTCAAAACAGGATACATAGGAAAAAAAGCTGGGGTTTTTTCCCCTTTTTTAAAGCCATGGGTTTAGATACATGGAATATGTTTGAGTGAATACCCAAGATCTACAGAGAGGGCCTCAAACACCTTTGAACTGTAAAAAGAAAAAGGGACAGATAAAAGGGATGTAATAGATAGTTTCTCTCTAATATCTAATAACATATGAAAACACCAGAGGTATTCCCATTGTGAGATGACTTTCAAAAGAAATTGCCTTGAAAAGGGGAGAATGATTAATCAAACTTTTTGTTAGTGTTTCTAAGAAGGTTGGTTGATGAAGATCTGTTTAATTTGTAAGTCACAGAACAATATTGTTTCCCACATCCTCTTCCTTGATTTGGTCCTCTCCATCTGATACTACTTATTAAACGCAAACCAATTTTCTTTTCTCGTTCCCTTCCAAATTTAAAAAAAAAAAAAAAAAAAAAGAGAATACTTTAAAAAAAATCAGCTCCACAAAGGGCTGTAAGGCAGCATTATCTTATCCGCACTTCATGAATATCTAAGCTGTTGGTATGAACTCTCAGAAAAAAAATCAGTTTTACTGGTAAGATTCTGTGGCTTCAATGGGAGCTTAAAAAATGGCTCAATGGGAGGATATTCAATAATTACTTCCTGTTTATTTTTCTAAATAAATATATAACTATCCCATGTGCACAATGTGTCTCAAAAAACCTGAATTATTAAATCACCAGCAAACATATCTTCTCACAGTGAAAGGCGACTATCAAAAGATGAGTATTTTTTATAAAGTATGAGACTGCTTTCAGTTAACCAGTTATTCAGATAAAAAAAAAAAACAAACCAAACTTGTTTAATTGGTGTGGACTGGGAGGAAAAAAGTGATGAAATTCAGTATTATTCCTCTTGCATGGATAGAAAGCACTCCAAAGTTAAACTGAACAAAAGATCAAACAAGTTGTATTTAAACTCAAACTTGCAATACCTTTTTGATGCTATCAGCATCACCCTTTTCAGCATACACATTCAGAAGAGATAAATAGGTGTCTGGACCCGGTTCAACACCAGCCATCCTCATCACTGAAAGGATATTTTCTGCACTTTTCACATCTCTAAAAGAATTCAAAAGAAAGACCCTCAGTAGATTTAATCATAATAATGTTTATTGTGACTTCCACATTTCCTCATTAAAATAATTAGAATTGTAAACAAAGACTGCAACAAGCATAGTGAAACTTATTTTAAGTAAGAAAATCCTGAAAGGTGAAAGTGCAAGGACTTTAATTATTGTGTTATTTAAAATACTCTTTCAACAGTTGGAAAAGTTCAAAATTAAGTGCAGATTTTTTCCAAACAGCACAAAAGTACAGTAATTTATCTTGAAATCCAAGATTTTCAGACAAGAAAAAAATATACTTCCTTTGTTAAATATCCCTGTTTTGCTTCAAAAATCTACAAAAAGAGAGTCTTGTACATATTTATTATTCAAAACCATCACACTATTCTGCAACATGTAATTTTTCTGTACAGTATCACTCTATATTGTAGTAGAACTAAAAAAAAAAAAAAAAAAAAAAAAAAAAAAGTATTAAACATTACCCTGATCTTGCATGACCTTTCACAAGGCTACTGAATACTGCCTCAGTGATTGGGAGATCTTTGTTCTTCATAAATCCAAGAATCTCACTGTAAAATACAAAACAATGAATGATTAGATAATTGTTTCCTTTGAAAAGAGATTAGGTATTTTTTTTCCTTTGAAAAGATAAACTACTGAGATATTGCTGCTCACTGGACAAGTACTGCATCATCAAACAAAACCAAATCCTGATGTCACTGAACAATTACATTTGGGGATGCGGCATAATATGCTCATAATCTGGTCATTTTCATTTTTTCAGATGAATTGTATTCTTCAGCTTGAAATATGCAGACACAAGGATGGGACTGGGTTGTTTTTTATTTTTATCTTCCTTTTACTTATTTCTCATGCCCAGCAATCGCTGTTGTAACTTAACCTTGCTAAAATTAAGATGTTAGATATCCAGCAAGACCTGTGTAACAACAACAAAAAATAATTACTCCTTAGCCCACTTAGTTAAAATGTCTTTCCCAGTAGCCATTTTCTTACATAGGCAGTAAGCCGTCATAACCTCACACTTTTTCGTGTCGGTTCTAGAAATGACAAAACAAGTTATTTTCTCAACAACTTGAATACAATTTGATTTGAACACACTGGTCTATCATTTATTTTTATTTTGCTTGTGTAGGTTCCAGATGTCTCTAAGAAACTGCTCTTTAGTGCTTGGTTAAAATATACTTAAAACCCTGTCTTTGCTTTGCTCAATTTATAAGAATTACACTGAAATGAGTTTTAATATTAATGGTAGGGAATATGAGAAACAGATTCTGTGGAAATCCCTTTAAACATAAATGCAAAAGAATACCTCGCTCCTTCAATGTCACCCTCATTGCAGTAAGCAGCAATCAACCTTTGGTATGTAACCTACAGAAAACAAAAAAGAGGAACTTAATGATTTCCATGCAATAAATAGATACTACTATTAAGAGTGAAGATATCATAAAAGGGTACCTACTCGATTGGGCTGCACATTAGCTTCCTCCATTCTGGCTAAGAATTCTGTCGGAGAAAATTTGTGCTCGTTCTGAAGGTAGACTTTAAGTAAAGCATTATAATGGCTTGTATCATACACAGCACCTAAGGAAATATTTCAACCAGAGTGAGTGAATATAGATTCTCTAAATTCAACATGATTTTATAGCTTTCTTAGGTAATTAATTTCATATAAATTTTATTCTGTATGAGCTTTATGTATAATCAGACTGCTTCCTTTCATCCACCTTTGCAATACCAGACTATTTAACAGCACATATGTTTATAAAAGGCTAAAACATAACAAAAGCACAGTAACATCAATGTTTGTATGCATGCTATTCCACAGTCTCTATGGCTGTATTTACATTACAGATTCAGCAATATTACTATCAAACAGCAATTCACCTATGCAACATCTACAGATAAATGACTAACTTAAAATTTAAGAAATCATCTGATAAAATATCCAGCAGCACTAGGATATCAGCCCACCAGATATCAGGGTAGTATCTAACAGAGAAGTAAAATTCATTCTTCCAATAATCAGAATCAAGCAAAAGTCCAATTTAAGTATCTTACCAAAAAACTATCTTTAGATTTATTACTAACACCCCTAGATGTCAGTATAACTCCCAGAATAGGAAACAGGTCTCTCACCTGAATAAAAAACCCTAGCATTTATTTGGTAATGAGTATTTGCTGTTATAATCTAACATTTAAACACCATTAAAATACATTCAGTCTTCTGTTACAAAGACAGTAACTAAAGCACATAGCTCTTCTTGCAAGAGGGACTAACAAAACTAACTTACCCAGTTCTTTCATCTTGTCCCACATCATATGGGCTAGTTCTGTTCTTTCAGGTAACAATACCTCTGGTAAAAGAGTACCACAACTTCGCAGCAAAAGCAAGGTCTGGTTACTTCCTGGACACCCTGCAAGTGGAACACAACCACAAGTTTCTTTATAGTTATGCATTTAATATTAGAAAGAAGATTCGAGACTGACCCACTGAAATATTTAAGCATTTTGTATAGAAAAGAATCTTCTCCAAGACTGAAGATCTTTACTGAACAGTATACCCAAATGATTAAACAATGAAAATATTATGTGCTGCCATGAAAAAGATTCACAATTAAAGATGCCATTTAGTATAATAACAAGCTCAGCTGAGCAGAAATTTTAAAAAATACAACACAAAATACTAAACTCGGATGATCTAGCCCTTGAAATTTCCCAATCCAACATCCATACATCATTTAATCCTAACAGGGACATAACTTCCTGTTAAATTTCTAAAACTGCAACATACTTTATACCAATTCCTTAGTACTCCAAAACTGGTATTCAGAGACATCCCACATTTACATTTACACTTCTGCCCATGCTCAACATAAAATAAATGAGATCATTTACATCTAGAGAATAGTGAAAGAAACTGTAAGAATATCTACCTTCTCTGACTTCTACACTAACCTGAGAATATTGAAAAAGTAACTATTATCTCATCTGTCTCCCTTGGACTTCACTACCACTCCTGAGGCAAAGTAAGGCAGAGCTGCAGAATCTATCAGAAACTGGAGACACAAAAATTTTTTCAATCACATCTTTATATGCAAACCCAGCAATTTCTAATAAAAAGGAGAGTTTCTTTAGAAAGCAGTACACCATAAAGAAAAAAGAAAAGAATACAAAAATGTTGTCTCTTCCTTTCCTATCAAAGAGAAAGGTATACTTCAATATTACCTTCAGTAATTGCATCTAACAAGAAGCACAATAAATATTCACATACAACATAAACGATGAAAAAAAAAGTTTTCTCTCTGAGACATACATGCAGACTTGAAATATTCAAACTTCCAAAATTAGTTAATGTCTAAAGCATCACTAATGCTTTCTAAGTTACTTCCAAATCATCATGCCAACACTCCAAAATTGTGTACAGCCCAGCGTTGCCAGTAAAGATACCTTCAGCTGCTGATGATCACTCTAAGTGTAATTTTCAGTTATAGAGGGCTGTAGAAACATCTATACATACTGGTAAAATAAAGTAAAAAACCTCAACGGCAGAAAGCTATATGCCATCTAGAATCAGATTTTCAGGTACCAAAAAAGACCAGCAAATCTAGGATATCACATGTTTCAAGAGCGCAACCTACAGCAGAAAAGTTATTTATACAGAGTAAACTTCTAAGGGAAGAAACACGGGCAGTAGGGGGTTAAAAGTAAGAAATAACAGGAAAAGAAATAAGTTAAAACATTGAGAGGGAGCAAGTACAAATTCCAAATGGGGAGTTGGACTTGGATTTGACTAACCTTTAAATCCCTGCATACAATTAGTTCACTCAATATAATGCTGATATATGTCGGCCTTTCACAATACCAGTGTTACATTAGTGACTGAATAGCTTGAAAGGCAAAAGAAACAGGAAAAGGTTTGGAAGTATGAGTATGGAAAGGTGTAGGACAAGATCTACAGCAGTGACCTTCTTTGGGCATTTTTCCTGTTGTAATTAGAAATGGAAGAACAATACAAACACAGACAAATCATTTTAGGACATCAACAGTAACTAACCTCCCACACTTGTGCTAAATTAGTTTTCAACATTATTAATAAAAAAAGGACTGAATTTCTCACATGAAAACATTTGTCATTTCTTTTAATAGCATCCTAGTTAAATCTCTTGAAGTTCCACACTTTTTTAAATATACTTACACAGCTGAAGGAAATCACTATAAGCAATTAATCTTTTTGTTAATATGACTTCCTAAAAACTGTGTAACTAACCAAAGATCATGAAGAACTGTGATTTGCAGGTAAGCTTAGAGACATACAATTCTTGCCAAGGCACAGTCACAAATTATAAGTTTATACCTAAAAAAGACAAAGCAGTTAGAATCAGAAAGGGCATCACAAGAAAAAAACAAAACAAAACAAAAAAAACAACCCAGCTCAACAGAGAGAGAACATGAATTGAAGACAACTTTTAAACAGTGAAATGCAAAACTTTTTTAAAAGTGCAATCCCAGGTATACAAGCTATTAACAATCCAGAGCATTACACAGCAAAGTTTAAAACTAAAACTAAACTACGTGCTGTCAGTGATAGATACTGGCAGTAGTACTTGGTGAGTATATTTAGCAAGTATCTCCATTGACTCACCCTAGCTGGTACCAAACCTCATAAATTGTGGTACCTGGTTTGCAAAATATTAATATACTGTGGTTATTTTTAGTCAATGGGGCATTGAATCTGTGAAAACAAACAATGCCTCTGCTGTTTGTTTTATTCAAAAAAACCCCAAACCTTTCTTGTCCTGAATAAGCACAGCTACCTGGGAATGCGGAAAATTGGGGATCACCTCTGTGTTTCCCTTTGTAGTGCCATTTTAGAACAAATAAACCATGTTGTCCTTAAGAGGTTATTACAGACATTTTAAAAATATACAGTATAAAACAGATGGATATGATCCCTGTTCAGAGTGCACAATGAGGAAGGTGTAACATTACCAGATTAAAAATCCAGAATAGGCAAAGCAATATGATAAGATTTCTTAGAAGTACACTGAATTTTTACAAAGGCTTATAAATGCCCAAAGACATAAAAAACCTGGAAAAGTAAATGTGTGCATTCAAAGCATAATACTATCTTTAAAGCATTTAAAGTCTGTTCATCAACACATGCAGCAGATTAAACAACACTCAAAAACGAAATATAAATTAGATCATTCAATTAATTTCCTTGGTTTGCTGAATCGTTATATTGTAACTTTAAATTTAGCTTTTATTTTGTTTTAATTGGAAGCAACTTACCTGTTTTGCATATTTCATGGAAGATTTTTAGTAGAAGGGTTTTACGGATGCGGCCAGTTTTCCTGACAGAGTTATCCAGTTTATTTAATGCCCAGTCAAACTGCCAGGTCCGTCTGGTTTGAATTTCTGAAATTGGTTCTTCTTTAACACTTCCCTCCTGTTGAGGTGCAACTGTAAGGAACCTGATTTGGTACATAATGTTTCTGCTTAAATAAAAAACAAACAAACAAACAAACAAATAGATATTACACTTCTATGAGTCATTTTGCAAATGCACTAGTCACACAACGTCAAAAAGATAATGCACTTCTTGCTGATGAACAGTTTCTCAAAAACATTCCATATTAATATAAGCAGACAAATACATGTGATTCATTTCAGTGTCTTTCTACTTAAAAAGGCATAGTCATGTATATTTTCTCACAGTGACAACTGTTTCTCTGAGATTTTCAGTTGGATCACCTCATGAGTTAAATGCTTCAAATACTATTCCCACAAAAATAAAAATTTTGAAGTTGTCCAAGTGCTACAGAAGTCTATTGTCCCATTATGGCTTCTCACAAAAGCTTTCATATGCTTTTGAAAAAAAATCACTCCAAGAACAGTCAGACACCTCTTCTAGAACACAGGAAATCAAGGCAGCAAATTATTTATCATTCTTTTAAATTTAAACACACAAAAAACTAATGCAGAGGCCAGTGCTTTAGACAATGGCTTGAAGAATAACAGGATCATTCTCCATTCTGCAGACTTTACATGAACAAGTGTGAAGCAGACATCCTGCAATGTAAACCAAACATCACCACTGGATTTATGTAAATATTTATTTTCTCAAAATAAAGTTTGACAACAGCAAGAAACATAATGTGAAAGTATTCTTATTTCCAGCTAAACTATAAGCACTTGGCTTGCTTTTTTTTTAAAAAAAAAAAAGAACAAGCTGATGTACATAAGAGAATAGTGTTTGTGCCACAGTGGAATCATGAACAGCCTGTGCAGGTAAAAATACCATTACACACAATTGATTTACAACTGCATAAAATAAGCCAGACTATCCTCCTTCAGAATCCTATACAAAGGAAGTTAATACATGCTGGATGGCAAAAAAGATTGAGCAACTTATGAAATTACCCTGCCTCATCTCTGGCTCTCTAGACAGCTCCCAGCTCTTCAACTAAATTTCTGCAAGGTCTCCAGATTAGTTTAAAAAAAACCTAGTTGTTTTACTCCCTGCTGTTACAGATTCTGGAGGAGTCCTATGCAGTAATGGCAGCACTTTTTGTTGATGCGTCTTGTTGTAACAACCAAATGAGATGTCTACAACTTTAACTCTTTAATAACACATAAATAGCAATACTCAACTATGAGTTAGCCACTGGATAGCTAGAAGAATTAATGTAGTGATTGCAAGTTCTTTAACTATTTTTTCTTAAAGATACAGATTTTATAAAGAAAATGGTATCATCCACTCATACACCCACTAAAAAAAGTATTTTCAGAATACTTTGTCATGTTGGAAAAAAATGCTTTGGAAGCAAACAGCAACACAGGGCTTACTTTGTAAACACAGAAATTGACACTTTGATTTCCATTAACAATCAAAGTGCAAGTGGACAAAACTCCTGATCTTCAGATTAAATTTGAAATGTCTTTTTCTATAAAAATCTGCTATTGCTTTTAGTATTTTGCAAGTTACTGGATTAGATTTTATGCCATATAGCACACTTTTAACCAAAAACTGATATCTACATTTCTTAGCTTAAATCCCACACTGTTTTAAAAAGCCCTCTTTGTAAGACTCTCCACATAGCAAAAGTTACAAACATTTTAAATCACTTGTATAGCTTTTTCAGATTAAGTATGAAGATAAAAACAGTACGTGAATGCTCAAAATATGCTGGTTAACAGCATGTGAGGACTCTGCACTTTCATTTGTTACTAAATTCTCCCTGCTTAGAATTTAGCATGATGCTGTTGCAAACATAAATTTAGAATATTATACTGTATCAATTGCCACAGTTACACACTGTAAAATACTATACTCTTATCTGAAGTGTTATTTTTATGCACTAACTGAACCTGATGAAAGATCAGCAGAATTGGGCATTTCTACTTACCCCTCCACACCATGTATTATCAAATATGGTACTGGTGTTTCTGTTAATTTATACATTTTAAGGAATGTCAACACACAAGTCCACGCTTCAGTTTTAGAAAGACAGGGGAAAACAGTATAAGAGTATAAAATAACCTGAGGAACTCTTACGCCTCCACTAGCATCCACCAATTAAATTACAATTATCAATCTGAAATACAATGTCTAGCATAAGACTCGGATATATCTTATCATCTGTATGCTTTCAGCATTTGAATAAAATACACTTTCAGCATGATTTAAGGCACTGAGTAATACTAAGCCAATCCCACAATAAGAATTTGTTAAAAATAACTGGCTTCAAAAGCTGGATGAAGGGCATCTACTGTCTTGAATTTGGTTCTTAGCACTACAAATCAACTATTAACACAAAACTTAAAAGAAAATAAAGAAAAAAAGAATGCTAAGAACTCACTGTTCTAAAAGATGAAAGACTGAGCAGACCAGACAGTCAATGTCCAAATAAATGCAAACTTAAGGGACACAGTAACAGGTTTGATTTCAGATAATCAAGTGAAAGAAAGAAGAATGCAGTAGAGACAATTAATGGCACAACCTCCCCAGAAAAAGAAGCTAACAAAATTAAGAAGTTATCCATTACAAATCTTCAAGTCCCTTGTTTGATTCTTTAATTTTTAGAAGCTGAGAAAGAACACATGATCAAGGGGAATTAAAAAAAAAAAAAAAAAGGCAAGGACAAAAATCAAGGCCATGTTAACCATTTCAGTCAGGAAGTCATATAAAGAGGTTACAGGAAAGGCTTCCAAATCCAAGATGATTTTTTTAAAAAAATATAGATCATACACTGTTTAACGTTCAAAAAATGTTAACTGCAACTGTACTATGTAAGTTTTACCATGACTAAATTATAACAAGGAGATGGGTGTGCAAGTGAGAATAGGAAAGAATGAGCTAAGTAATTTCCGGAAACATTAAGGTATGTTATATTTAAGACACATTAACAGAGTTTACTCAATCCCTAGTCCTTTGGAATTGCCTTCAAAAATTCATGAAAGTTCTAGAAAAAGCAGAAGAATAATCAGTATAAAATATGGACTGATATACCAGCTTCTGGCATTATGTTACCTGACAATAAGCAAAACAAGGAGATACAATGTACTTCTAGTTACAAAAATATGGGTGCAGTAGTTGTTTAAAAAATATTAATAATAATTAAAATATATATATAAAAACTAAAATGTGCTGATCAATGTTTGTTGCAAAATTGGGAATATATTTTGTGAGACCCTCAGCTATGTCCTGACCCAAATGGGACACGACTGATATGACCCATGCCCATTCAATGATTTCATTAACTATTTGGATGATATACGTTAATAAACTTACACAATTTACAGACAACACCATAATGGTTGCAAACTCTTAGAAGGAGAGCCTCAGACTTCAAAGTCATCTTGATTACTTGAAATGGTTTGAAATCAACAAAAAGGAAATTCAATACATACCAAAGTTGAGCATTTTGGACAAAAAAATGCATGCAGAAACTTAAAATGATGTACAATTGGCCAGACAGCAGTACAACTGAGAAAGTACTGAAAATAAGCCACCACTAAACATGAAACATCATGCAGCAAAGAAGAAAAATGCAAACCTTCAACTCCTAAGAAAAGCAATATAGATAAAATACAGAGAATCATTCTGCTTGTCATGGTGCATTTACTCACAAAAAAATAGGTTTAAAAGACTCATCTATCCCATCCCACTCTCCAAATGGAGAAGCAACTGTACCCAATCCATCAGGCATCACACTGGTAAAATTAATTGTGGCAATATTAATTGTAATTAAATATTAGAACAGGATAAGTTCTAGACAGTCAAATTTTATCACTTGGAAACTATGAAATAAGATTAGGAGTGGAAAAACCCCAAAATCTATCACATATGACCTTGGCACTGCTGATCCTACCTCAGTGCTAGATGTTAGATTATTTAATCTTACGATGTAACCATATTTTTTCAATTACTGTAATTAACTTTGTCCAGAATTAAATGCTATGCTACACAGAAAAATGCATGATACTTCTCCAAGTACTGCAATGAGTGCCAAGTATTTACTGTTAAATGGTATTTTAAAATTTTCTCCATGTGAAACATTATACTTGCAAGTACATGAAGCTGCTCAATAAACTTCAAACCTGTTTGGATCAGCAACCTGATTCTTCCCCAACATGTGCAATTTCTCTTTATTGTGCTTCAGAACTGTGTTTTTTTGTAGCTAGCCAGAGAAACTCAAAAGGATATATTAAGTCCTATAAAGTGATCTCTCTCCTACTCCCACAATCACAAGCCTAGAAGTAGCTTTCCAATATTTGAGCTTTTACATAACTGTACCATTAGACAATTTTCAGCTTTGTGTCTACAATGGTGAGGATTAAAAACATAGACCTTGCCTACATCAGAGAAATTAACCAATTATGTGTTTGCAATCCCAACACAGAACCACCCACCATTTAGCTGTAACTTTTCATCTCCAATTTAGCTTACAATGTCTAGAAAGTAGACGAAGATAAACTCATAAAAAACTCATGCTGAGATGAAGTATGCATGGGGAAGTTAACTAATAAAATATTCCTAAATTTGCAATTTACGAGAATCCCAGTACAGTACTTAACATGTACTTACATGCTTTCATTTCTAGAGCAGACCTAGAATCTAGATCTAGGCAGTGCCTTTGATTTCCTAAAGGTACACATGTTAAACACCTGTCTGAGTAAAAAAGTGTCTCATCTTTCCCAAAACTCCAAAAGTAGGTGGTTCCCTGGCAGTAGCAGCACGGGAAATTTTACTTTCTGTAAAACCCGCCCAATTTCAAACATTCAAAAAAGGATTACAGAACTACCATAAGGATATTTGCCTCCCTTTATCAGAGCCACACTAAGGTAGTTGTTATGCTTTTTCTAAGAAAAGTAGTGCATATTTTGTTAAGTTCTTTCTAAACTAAACAGGCAAAACGTGTAGGAAATAAGGTTTCAAAATATGAGTCATGCTTAAGGTAGAATAATGGTAAATTTAAGAGTTAAGATTCATTACTATTCATAAAACCACTACAGACTTAACATGAGTTAAATTTACTAAATATAAGACTAAATATACCACCTGAGATCCCAGCATGATTCACATGGCTACTAAACAGTATTTCCCCCAACTTACTATGGTCACATACGAAAAAAAAGGCTACAATGTTCAGGCCACTGTACCCTTGTTTCAATGAGATGCAGTAGGATCCTAGAAGAATGGAAAAAATTTTGGTTTTTCATTTAGACTATCTATTTAGATATTCTTAAGAGAGTATCTAAAAATTTTGTCTGATGCACAAGAACAAAAGCAGAAAAACCTTGATTTGTGCTATTTCTTATCTAGACATTTTATATACATTGGTAAAACACATACAACAGTGCAGTTTGTGCAAATTTACTACAACAGAACATTGCTTCAGTATTACCAAAAGCAAGTCTAGCGAATGGCTCCTCTGCATTTAAAGTCTGTTAATTCTATCATTTTGCTAATGCTAGGTAATAAAGCACTCAATTCTAGATTTTTGTCCACTGGTGACGGATTGCTGAGTACAACAGTGAATAGCCAAAAGCAACTTGCTTGCAGCTAATTAAAATAAAATAATCAAAAAGTAGCATGCAATAAACCATGAATCATTTGGGGTTTTAACTTATGGCTTATCCAAAGCTCAAATCAAAACCCTCAGATCTAAACCGAGATTCTTTGAAAGGGTATTCTTCCCATCTCACCAGCATGCTTCAGTCTTGTACAAACACACCACAATGTACGAAAAGTCTTTACAAAGACAACTTGAAAAGCATTGCACATGGTACTCTCTTATCAACTTCCTCAGCAAACACTCCCCTGAACAGAACACAGATCTTACCAAAAGCAGGCTTCACTACAGCACAATTTGCTGTCTGAGCAGATGCTCTTTTCTCTGTAGTCATGAAAACTGTTATTTAAACTCACTGGAGAGAATATCAAACTAATTAAGTGACAGGAACGCCAAAGATGCCTTGCGAGACTTGCAATAGAGATTTCACTTGATTTTCCAGCTATATGTTTATGATGTATGTATTAAGATCCTAATTCTCCTTTTCTCCAAGGACAGATAGGATGTTGACCTCAGGATGAGTGTCCTGGCGCTCATACATCTAAGAGGGCAGTTCAGCAGTACAGCTGAACTGATCTAGTATCACAGTCGTCACAGCGGGTTCCCTCTTCTCCTTTTGCCTGCGGTCCCACTCTTTTTGAGTTCATCAGATCCTTACCTTTATAATAAAATCCGTCCACCTGTCAGAAAACTTTTCCTTGCAGTCTAGCAAATTATATCATCTAAGTAATAGGTCCAAGGAGCACCCTGATTTAGAGCAGGACAAGCTGGCCAGCAATGGAAGGATGGTCAGTGAGAGAAGAACGGAGCCAATAGCCTTCTTCCCAGCACTAGCTTTCCCACAGCAGCAAGGTGTACCATCAAACCATAACATAATCACCTAGAGTGTGTAGAATAAAGTCCCCAAAAGATATTCTAATGTTACTTCAAAATCAATTGAGAGGTTACAGCATTCTCATCAGTCAGCTACATGCAGCAGATTTAAGAATCTCTACCCTTAAGTGAAGCTTCTGTGAACAAAGTTCCAGTAAATAATCTGTACTACCTAAATCAGCACGGTGCTAAAGCGTGCTGTTCTAGATCTGAAGTTTGTTGTATTCATCTGTCAGCTTATTTATCTTGTCATAATTGCATGCCACGAGAATGATGACATATAGCTCAGTACATTTCACATTTCATACTAGAGGCAGACAAGTGAAATACTAAATTTGGTTTAGATCTAATTTTCTATGAAATGCTTCTCAACCACTCAATGCCATCTGATATCCATGTACTGTCCTAATCTATTTTCAGAAGTTTATATTTAACCAACACAAAATTAAATGGGAAACACTCCCACAGTATATTGCATTGGCTCAACTATGGTGTGAAACAGTACCCATCAGTC